GATACAATTAGATTAAATTAAATTAATAATTTAATTTAATAAATTAATTTGACTAAATCATTTGATATCCAGAATGAAATAAAGTTGTCTGCTGTCCCCTTTGTTGTTTATTTTGGTTCTTGTAGTTTTGAACAGTGATATTACACAACATGAGAAGATAATGGGCCTAAAAAAGATGTTTAAATTCAGAGCTTTTGCTGATAATTTGGTTTTGATTTTACAAAACCCTCTGAAAGGGATTGAGTTTTTGATTAAAACATTGAAAGATTCTAGTGTACTAGCAGGTTTTAAGATTAATTTTTAAAAAAGATATTGGTAAAAATATGACTAAACAAGATCAAGACAATCTGATGAAAAAAATCAGGTTTTAAAAATTATTATAACAAGGTTAAATATTTGACTAGAAAAATATGAATTGCATGTTATTTCAAAATAATGTTAAAATATGGAATGAAGTTAAAAAAGATAGGTTGAGATGGAAAAAATTGCAACTGTCATTGTTGGGAAGAATTTCTGTGATTAAGATGAATGTTTTACCTAGAATGTTATTTTTATTCCAGACAATACCTATACGTACCACTGATGTAACATTTAAACAACAGAAAAAAGGTATTTCCAAAATTGTTTGGCAAGGCAAGAAACTGAGAAGTAAATACAAACTGCTGGAGGATGCTAAAGAAAGAGAGGAGTTAGAAGACGAGATTTTGAAATTGTATTTTGCAGCTTGGTGTTTAATATGGGTAAAAGAGTAGATGACTTTAAGAAATAGGCAGCTATTGGAATTGGAAGAACATGATTTAAGACCTGTTGGCACAGCTACTGGGATATGATAAAGTTAAAGTTAATGTAAAAATTTTAAATCATTTTATTAGGCATACTTTACTGAAAATTTTGAATTGGCATAAATCATAAGTGTCTCCTAAAATTCCTGTCACCCTAAAAAGCTTTTATTAGAAGGGAAATTGCACTTAAACGCTGATCTGCTACATTTTTCCCAAGGAGTATTTAAATGAAAACCTGGAGTTGGAAGACTTTACATGCCATTGGAACTTGACAAGACTAACGAATTTGAAAATGCTAAGACTGATTTTAATATTGAATTGTATATAAATGATGGTATTATTGATAAAATATATTAACTTTTATTGAAAATTAAAACAGGATAAACAAGTGAAAGACTGTATAATAAAATGGACAAAAATAAATATAATATATAGGTTGGTCAATGGGAGAGTATTGGGGAAGAAAGGGTTTAAATTTACATTAAATTATAATCTTGAGAATTTTTATAAAATGATATATTCCTGGTATATAACACTGGAAAAATTGTGAAACATATACAAGGGAATTTCAATGATTTGACAATTAGAATTACACAGGATTAAAGAAATAATGTAAACAAATGCTAAACTTATACTAAAAGTTTATTTTTTTATTCATAGCTCTACCAAAGAAAGTCAGAAATCATTATAGTTTGCTTGAATTTTTTATAATTTTAACCTGTTTTTTAGTTATATTTTTTTAATGTTCACATATTTTGTGAGCCACTCAAAGCTTACATGTTGCTTTGGCACAGAATTCAATGTGCTTTCTCCAAAGCATTTAACATGAGTTCAGTGAAACTTACTACATATGTGTATAACACATAGGTAAAACTTTTATTGAGGTCTTTGACAAGCATGCATATGTATGTATATATGTAGGTATGTATAAAAAATATAATATAAAAAATATAATATACATTAAACATGGCAGTTAAAATAAACTGTAAGAATTAAGGAGGATGAAAAGAAGGGAAAGTATTACTATCATACTAAACATTATCTATGGTATCGGAGTTACGGGGCAAAGATATTTGTGGAAATATATTTACCATCGATTACTGCTGAAGGGAATTGAATCTGGCCAGAGCAAATGTTTTACAATGTTTGTTGATTGAGATTAACAATAATTGGTTTGGTGGCAGAAGTGTTTCCAAAACTTATGTACCCTTTGTGCTAAACTAATGTCATATTACTATCCTACATCAAGAAAGCTCTCCTTCAGTGATCTTTTTACTTGGTTATAGCCCATCTTTTGTATTGGCTCATTACAAAAGCCATAGGATAGATTGGAAGTGATCTTTGTTAATGAGGGATGTTAGGCCTATTGGCTTAAAGAGTACTTTTAGTCTGTAATTAAAAATAATGATCCAAATTCTATCCTATTCTTCATTCTAGTCTTAAAACTGAGTTAGACACACATTTAGGGACTTGCATGATTAATCTTAAGAACTTGGTCTGTATCCTCTGGGCTGCAGTTAGTGTAAGGCCTCACTGGAATCCCAAATAATAGTTATACCATTGTTTTTGCCTCAAAAAGTCTTAGTGGAGTTGGAATATAATGGCCAGCTTTGCAGAAATGAAAGGGCAATTCACTGTGATATTTCTCTAGACAACCTGCAATATGTGTGCCAAATGTGAATCCTTGCATTCCAACCAGTGAAAGATAATTTCTCGGTAGTTAAAACATTTGGTTTGTTTAGTCATTGATATACCAACTATGCTTTTGAGGACTTTTATTACAAAATCAATTTTCCTTTTTTCACAATATTGAGCAAAGGACTCTTTACATCCCTACCACAGATAATGACAGAATAACCATGTCATCATGCAGGAGAAATGAAGGCTGCCCACCCGCTAATTTTAGCGGGTGAAAGTTGCCATTATTGAGGTGCTGTGTAAATTACAAAATAATGGGACAACAATATAGTTTAATCCTTGTACTGTTGAAATTGAGTTGGCTAGCTGCTCTTGGGAACCAAATCTTACCCTCGAGTTGGTATTGCTGTAAAGTTCATATATTAGGAGAAGCAGTCATTTATCTATGTTGTTAGATGGTTCTTCTTCCATCTAAAAAAGCTGAACAAAAGATTCAAAGCTACATTTCTCCATTAGGTGTTATAGGATTATCACTTGATCTATGGTAGATCTTGCTGGCCTAAAACCAGCTAGGATATTGCATGTTTGGCACTACACTGAAATGTCTTCATGATCTATCTTGCCAAACTTCTACAGACAAAGATTCCTCTTAACAATTCCACTACAATTTCCTTTCATTGAAAATGTCAATGAATGAACCACACATATTCAAAGCATTTGTATGTTCTACCATTTGAGCTATGTTCAGAAACAAGAATGACCATCTTGCATTATGATGATTCCTCTAAAAATATTAATAAAACGATGGTTCAAAAATATGAATATATTCGCTCATGTTCATAAAAATATAAACTCCATGAACCTTATAGGAAAAATATATTTGATCCTATGCCAATTTCACATGAGTAAAATTTTCATATGAGAGCTTTCAGAACTTTCTCTTAAGTCCTATCCATTTAAAATACATTATTTTCCCCAAACTATAAACAATTGAAAGGCAAATCCTGTAATAATTCAGCAAACTAATGTACTATTATCTTGTCCTGCATATCCTTTCTCAACATTCAATTCACTTTTGAGCAGAATGCTTTTCCTGTTCAGGGTTTGCATAGTTTAAAAGACTGATCCCCAACCACTCAATTTTTGAATTTAAATTTTTTCTTTAAATTACTCTGGAGGCTTTTATAGAATTATTATTTAATGCAAAAAGGGCTATAAGAATTATATATTCAAGTCCATTTCCCACACCTAATTCATTCTGTTAAAAAGCATAATTATCTAATTTTAAAACGATCTATAAAATCTGGAAGTAATGACAAATACAATCCTACCAGAAGAAAAATAAATCTTGGTTTATGTTACCTTTTACCTTGCTCTTAATTTAATATCACTGTTCTTCTAATGGAGCCAATCAGAAAGTAACATTTTTTATCACCTATTATATAACAGTCCTACAGGATTTCACATCCGAATTTACTGTATTAAGCATACAAGGGACATCCAAGGCTTATAAAGTTATCCGGAGTCTTCCACGCCGTTTCATCGAACTGCAGCTGGAACTCCCTTTAATTGAGCCATCTATCAGAACACGAATGCAATTTATAAAGTTCAAAATGCAAAAAAGCATAAGCGTTGCAGTGGAAAACGCCCTGAACTAAGTACATACATGACACATCAAAGGGTGTTGGTGCAAGGTATCGCCACTCTTTTACGGTCGTATACCCGCACGGACAAACCGCCGCGGTAATGCGCTACATACAGTACTGTATTGTATGCTGTGTACTGAATGGAAGGCAGCAACCCCCTTCGGCCAGCCCCGGTACCAAAAAAACAGACGGCTGCCACAAGCTCTGAAAATACAAGACGCGTGGAGAGCTACCACCACAGTCCACAAGCAGGGCATTTTCTGCAACTTGGGCCTCTCGTAGGCAACAGGGGAGGGCGGGGAAAAGTCGACCGGGGAAGACTCGGTGTCATGCCTGCGACAGGGGCCATTCCCGCCTCATAGCAGGAGGGACGCCGTGGTTCGCTGGCAGCCGAGCGTCCCGGGGCTCAGGGACGGAGGGTGCTGCGGTGCAGCAAAAAAGAAAAAAGAAGAAAGGGACGCCTGCCAGATCTTAAGGCAGCTCCTGCCAAAAGCGGCTGGGCTCTTGAGCCTCTCCCCTTCCACTGGCGGACCTCGAGCAGCCGCTGAGGGGGGAGCAGCAACCAGAGGCGACTTCGGAGGGAAAGCCAGCGAACCGCCGCCTTTACCGCTCGCTACAGCAAACCCACCGGGAATTGGGGCGGGAGAGGCGGGGAGGGGGTGTCGTAAAGACAAGAGAAGAGCAAAATGGCGACTGCGGCGCTTCGTCCTATTCCCCCGAATCGACCTCCTTCTCGGGCCTCAGAAGGGGGTGTGCGGTGGGGGGCGGTGGGCAAAGGAATAGCTCGGGCCTCTTCGGGCTACCCCCACTCATCTCTCCCCCTTCCTCAGGCTCTTGCGCGCGGGAAGGAACCGGCAGAGAAGGCATACGGTTTCCTTCCCGGCCTTCTCGTTCTCGGCTCTCCATTCGTCCACCGGCCTTTCTATTACCGTACCTTTGAATTTCAGGTCGGTGGGAGGATCGAGCACCAGGATCTGCTCGTGCTTGGCCAGGACTCCGGCGGCCGCCATCGCTGCTCACACGTTCGCTGACTCCAGGAGGAAGGAGAGGGCGGGCGGGCGAGGGGGGGGGGAGGGAGGACGTTCCGCTGGGGAAGGAGGAGGAGGAGGGGGAGCCTTCCGAGGAGGACTTGCGACGGCAAGGCTCGCAGCCGCCCCCTCCTCGTAGCCCCGCAAAGCACGCGGACGCAGAAGCGCGCAGGGTCAGCCGCTGCCTTTTGCGTTGCTGTCCTCCCGCCTCCCTTCGCTGCCCCTGGAGCAACTGAGTCACCGGCTCCCCCAGCGCACTGCGATCAACGCCAACTCCGGCGCGGGCACGAGGACAGCGGCCGAGAAGTTCGAGCACCCGCGCGCCAAGCCGTGCGGGGAACCGCGCGGGCGCGAGCCACGACAAACGCCGCCTCCGCGCGCTCCCCCTTTCCACCGCTTCTCCTCTCTCTCTCTCTCTCTCCCGGCTCTCGCTGGTTGACAGCTTCGCTGGGCGGGGATCGCCGCCGCTCCGGGAATTGTCACGCGCGAGGGGACGTAAAGCCCAAAGGCAAAGAGTCAGTCGGGAGGGTTTCCTCTGCAGTGGGGGCAGCGCCTGACGACTCGGCTAACCAGAAAGGAGAAAACTGACTCAAGGACGTTAGCTTCAACGACGCCGAAAGCAAGCGGCTTGATTGCTGAAACTCCACGCGTACAGCGCGTACCCGAATTTCGTTCAGATGCATGCCGGGAATTGTAGTCTTGAAGTAAATGGGAGAGAGGAGTTACGTCGCGCGCCCTTAGAACTTGCCTCTCTCGACTTTAGGGAGTGCTAGTTTGCTTCAGTGACGGTTCTTTGTCACGACTGAAAGGCTTGAATTAGGGCTGCACAAATCCAGATGACCTTTAGGTGTCGTCAAAGAGATATGTACTGCTTATTGTGCCATCGAGTCGTTTTCGACTCCTAGCGACCACACAGAAATAGTGGTGGCCTGAGATTTTGCACTTCTGATAGGGCTCTTGTTAGTGATTAGCTTCTCAATGAAACGAACATCGAATCTCCCTTTATGCTACACTAACATAATGCAGAGGAAACTTTGTTAAGTTTAATTAAAAAAGGCATTTTCCCATGCTAAAAGAAGAGAATACAGTGCAACGTGCGTTTATCTGCAAAGTGCAAAGTGTGCTATGCCACAGTTTGCTTATAATTTATTAAACAAACCAGAATTGGTTGGCTTTAATTATTATATTTAATTATTTATTTGTTCAACTTGTGTGCCGCCTTTCTCCAAAGACTCAAGGCGGTATTAAGGCAATTGTAAACAAATTAAATTATAGCATAACAATATTCTAACTTCAGTGTTCCCTAGACTGACAGCTTTTTAAAACTACTGCTGTGCCATATTTTTGTACAAAATTGATGCTTAATGGCCAAAGGAATATCATGTAATATTTACCTTATGATCAATCATGGCTTAAATTTGTTTGGAAGTAGGTCACACTGAGATGATAATGAAATTTAATGTTAAATTAAGGTTCCAACTGTCAAAAGTAAGAGCCTAATGTTTATAATGAAGAATGAAATGCATAGTAAAATACTGTACTGCCTGTATAACTGAGCACCAAAGATTGAACCCTTTCAGTTTAGCAGCCGATTTTAAAAAAAACATGACATGTGCTGGCATTTTTCTCTGGACAGGTGTATTGATGCTTACAATTGACATGTAAGCTGCAAAAGGATCTGACCTAACATTGATCAGATATGAAGTTGAAGATACCCAATAATTTACTGTCTGCAGATCACTCTTTCCAAAGTATGAATTAAGAATGGGAAATGAGTTAAACATCAAACCAAAATAATGACCCCTGGGAAGGCAAATATATTTTACAAAATGTTATCAAATCATGTGCAGTCTAATGTCAAGCAGACATTTTCATTCCAATAATAGCCAGTGTTTGCAAAATTACCAAACTGAATTGCACACTCTTTAATAAATGTACTTTACAGTAATGTCAAGCTCTTGGCAATTGATTCAGACCAAAAAGCAATCCTTTTCACAGCCACAAATTGCACAGGATCTTCTTATCAAGATTTACTGAAAAGAAAGGCTTTCAGCACTGGAATTATGTCTCATTTAAAAGTGATTTCTCTAAGAAAATTAATGCTTTTCATAATTTCTAATGGATTTTCTGTGAATTGTCAAGGATACAAATCTTGTTACTGATGAAGCTGCAAGTATCTATTAACCTAACTGTCTCTTGAATCCTTTTCAACGTAAGGGTCATCCCAGATGTACAGTCATGCATTGTTTGAGGTAGTCTTTAGACTTGCATTCAATCATGTTTAATCCAGTGTTTATTTCAGAAGCAATATATAGTTCTCAGCTTATGACCACAATTGAGCCCCAAATTTCTATTGTTAAGTGAGACATTTAAATGAGTTTTGCCCCATTTTATGACCTTTCTTGCCACAGTTATTAAGTGAATCACTGCAGTTGATAAGTCAGTGAATCTGGCTTCCCCATTGACTTGTTTGTGAGGAGGTCACAAAAGGTGATCATGTGACCTTGGGTCACAGCAACAGTCATAAATATGAACCAGTTGCCAAGCATCTGAATTTTGATCACATGATTGTGGGGATGCTGCAACAGTCATAAACATGAAAAATGGTCATAAGTCAGTTTTCAGTGCCATTGTAACTTTGGTTCCTAATTGAACTTTGTAAGTCAAGGACTACCTGTACTGTCAAATGAATGCTTCCCATCTATAAGTTCATCTTGTAGAGGATCTCTTCTGAACGTATAGATATATCAGTAGTGGGTTGCCCCCAGTTCGCACCGGTTCTATAGAACCGGTAGTAAAACCGGTGGGAGGCTCTGCTCACCGACCCTGACGTCATCCAAACGCTTCTGCACTTGCGCAGAAGAGCGCGTGAGCAAACTGCACACACGGCCCCGCTGCAATCCGGTAGTAAAGATAAGTAGCCCACCCCTGAGACATATAGCTAAGAACATCCCAAGTTTTTTGTATTCCTTGGTTAGAAATTTGACAGTATCTTGGGTTCAGAAAAAACTTTAATTAGATATCACTGAAAGCAGTCACATAGAAGACACTTATTTGTGAATACATAATACAGAATGAATCAACATATATTGTGGAAAATGCTTCCTCTGTTCCTTATTTGCTTCTGCCCTCAGAGTAATCAAGCATTAATGAATGTAGCATAAAAACAGTCTTGTCATTTTGAATTATAGTTCTTGGAAGGACAGCTCCTCAGTCATGGAGGAAATATGATTTGGGGTAAGCTAGACATTATTTTAGCACAGAGTGGCATGTAAACATAATTTCCTCTCTACTTTTGCACAGATAAGGAATTTTGATTTAGAGAAGAGCTTTAGCATCATTTATTTTATTTGGAAAATTTATATTTGGAGGTTCAATAACCATATTTCTTATCATAATTTAAGTAAATCCAGTATGAAAGATGAGTTGTGAATGACAATTATCTAAATTCATTTTTCTCTCCGTAAAACCAAGAACTCAAAAATCTATTCAGGATTACATTCAAGAAGTAATACTATACATGCTATCCCAAAAAATTGGGATAGAAAAATCCAACAAATAAATACAATTCTTTTTTTTAATTAATTAGCTTTTATTTATTCTATATTGAACTTACTATGAATAAATTGTGTAATTGCATGCAAGCAACTCTGTGACATATCATAGAATCATAGTGCTGGATGTGTCCTCAGAGGTCCTCTGCTCCAGTTCAGTGCAAGAACTGCTAAAGCATTTTACACAGATGATTATCAAGCCTCCAAAAACCTCCAGTAAAGGGGAACATCCATTCATGAGGCAATGTATTCAATTGCTTGATAGGTCTTAACTTTTAGAAATTCTGGCTAATATCTAATCTGAATCTCCTTCCCTTGTTATTTCAACCCATTGGTTCTGCTGTGATCTTTGAGGCAATAGAAATCTGTCCATTCCTTCCTCTGTATGTCAATTCTTTAGATACCTGATGAATGCTATTATGTTTCCCCTGTACTTCTCTCTTTGCCAGATAAGCATATAAATTCTTTTAACCATGCCTAGTAGAAACTCATTTCCAGTGCTCTCACCATTTTCATTGTTCTTGTATCTCTCATTTTTTATTATTGTCCTTTTCAGACTGCAATGCCAGAACTGGATACAATATTCTAAGTGGGACCTAACTGAATTGTGCACCTGGAGCAGCAGTGAGGTAAGATTTGGAAATACAGTGTTTTCTCAAAATTGGCCCTGGTTAAGAGTCTATGCAATCCTGAACTAGATGGGAGAAGAGGTAAGAGGTTCAGGTTTCCCCCCCCCCCCAATCCTTCAGGAAATATCTAGCTGCAGGTTAAAAGGATATAGCTTCAATTTGGCAAGATAAGCCAAACTTGGATGGAAACTTAGGTTTGGTTTATCTGTAGATAGGCTTATCCACGAGCATATATTGTACAATAATATGTTTTTAAAGTATTGTATTTCCCATATATACTTAAATCATCCATAAACGGACCTTTGAGGCTTTAGCCAAAATATAATGAAAAGTATGAGTCAGCTTATTCACGGGTGGTGATTTTTTAATGGTATGTTAGTTAAAAGTTTGAAGGTCAGTTTATCTGCAGATGGGAGTTATGAGCATATGTGATAACACTTGTTTTTTTAACAGATGAATGAGACTTGGTTCCCATTGAGCTTGTAATATACAGAAACCACCAGATCTTTTCACATATTACTACCAAGCCAGGTTTCCTCTATTCTATACATTTGCCTCTCCCCTCCCTGCTTGCCGGATTTCATATTTCTTCCTATTAAATCTCATTGTGTTATTTTTGGCCTAGTCCTTAAATTTATCTAGAACTTTTCAATCTTTCTTTTTTTCTATAGCATTAATCACTATTCCTTCAATATATTTTTTTGAGACCTTGACAATCTTTCAGTTTCATAATCATCCTTATTCTTTTAGTACCCCAGGCTATAATTAATCTGGTCATTTCTCCTTGCAACAGATTCACAGCTTCTTTGCCTTTCTTTTATTTTTGTTCCAAAATTATATTTTCCTGTGTGAGGTATTTTTCCCAAGATTTACCTTATTTTAAACTTTGGTCTTTCTGACACAATCCTTTCAGTTTCCTGCCAGTGTTATTAAAAAAAAAAACCAGAAGCGATTTATGAAATATTTATTTCCTTTCAGCTGGCTTGTATAGTTTTATGCTGTAGTTGGAATCGGTGAGTCTTCTGTTGAATTATTTATAGGCCACTGTAACAGTGATACTAATGAGAAATTTCTACATTGCAGCTTGTAACTGATACACTCTTCATACGTTCATGTGTTTTTCTGTCCTTCCTTTTTTCAGTAATTATACTCTCTTTTTATTACTTGTTAACCCTACTTAAATAGCCTTTAAGAATATAAGCAGCATTTGGAAAGGCAGAAACACTGCTTTTAGCATCCAGGTCCTCCCCGTGGTACAGTATGTTCAAAGCATTATAAGAAGAAACATTGTGCCAAGGATTATTTGGCCCCAATACAGCTATCTATCTCAATACTTGAAGCTTTGCCACAATTACATAAACACAATGTCTGAGTGAACTGGTGGATCTGTATAATACTTAAAAGAGGATTTATTTCAGAAACCTCTTAAGCCTTTTACAGAATAGAATGAGCACAAAAATGGTTTTTCTAGATATGTTGCCACGAGTCCTAACAAGTCCTAATAAGCTCCAATTTATTTTGAAGATATTTCTTTGCCCCATTTTATATGGCAAATATAAATTATTTCACTGTTACTAAATTGTCTAATTTTTAATAAGCAATACTTATATGTTCCCAAACATAAGAGAGGTATTCACCTGTTACTTTAGTGACTTTCAATGCCTGGGTCTATGATTCTGCTGACTGACATAAGGTAAAATCAAGGCTTCAATTGCTTGGAGATCTTTCAGCAGATTGAGTAATCATCTGGCAGAAAGTCTTTAGCTGCATTATGCATTGCAATTTCTGCAGTGAACAGAAGGTTGGGATCTCAAAGATCCCTTCCAGCTCCATTTAGTAGTCAGGCCTTTCAAGAAAAATATATTATCATTAACCATTAGTATGACATTTTAGCTGTTTTATTTTTCAATATTGTAGCAAAACAAAAATATAATTTGTCTATACAGTATTGTCATTTTTATCGGTTATATGAGATTAGCCTTTTCCTTTATTACAGAGGTAAATACTGTTAACTCCATAAAATCCATGAGCCAATTTCTTCGGCTAGATGCTGTTTGTGTGAAGGATGTGGAGAACCTCCTTAAGACTCATCTTCCATCCACTTTCTTCTCCAAATAGAAGCTTTCAGACAGAAGGTGCCATTACATGTTGTTTATTGACTTTCTGTAGCCACATGACATAATTGGTCAGTATGGAATAATGGAATAAGAATGCTGGATGAGGCCTTTCATTGACTCAGCTCACTTCCAAATCTCATATAAGGATTTTATATTCAACTTCATATCTATTACTGTATTGGGCAAAATGGTAGAAGTATGAACTTTGAGATCACTTTTTATGGTCTTCAGGAAATTATTACATGCAGTTCTATGCTGCCCAGGATCCTAGACTCTGACTAAATTAAAAATTATGAAATCCCATAATAAACCACTACTATGCTAATACAACAACTTGGCAAATTACAATATCAATATTGTAAAACAACCAAATTAACCTTCAAAGGGTATAATAATAAAAACATATGGCTCAATTTTACTGTAAAATTAACACTATAAGAAATAAGAATTCCCCAATCAGATCAATCAGTCCAAATCACTTCCCCATGCCTGTTTGAGTAGAAATGTCTTGGCAGTGCTATTAAAGACCAATAGAAAATCAGGCAAACTTTCAGTGGCAAGGTATTTCACAACTTTGATGCTATCACAAGGTAGGACTGTTTGGGCCCAACTATCCATGTTACTTCAACTGAATTACAAGCATTCCCTTCTGGAAATGTGCATGGAAAGAGCGGAATTATTTTGAAAATAGTTCTTCAAATACTTGGAACCAAGCCATCATTTTATAGGGCAAAACTAGCACCAATGATTGCAGCTGAAAATTTATTGTTAATCAATAGCGGCATTACAAAACAATTACAGGAGTGACTCTTACCCACTAACAGTCCAACCATATTTTGTACCAACTGCTGTTTCTGTATTGTCATCAAAGAAAATCCCACTTAAGAGCGTATTATAATAATCTTTCTGAAGTTTTGAGTCACTATTGTCAGAGTCTCTCAGTTAAGGTGTAATGGATGAAACCTGTCCTGACCGTAATCTCTACCTGTTGTTTAGCAGGAGTTGTAAAGTGCAACAGAACCATCCAATTGTGGAGTAGCTCCTTCAGAGAAAGTGTTACCCCTATCTAGAATAATGATTAGTTCAAGATTACAGCTTTCTTACTTTTTAAAGAAAGAACAGCTTAATTTGCTGGGATTCAATCTGAGCTTCTTTGGTGTTATCAAGGACCAATAGACTCCAGATCAAAATTTACATGGCATCTCTGGCCTGGTTTGGGATAGAAATATGCAGATATTAAATACCATGGAGCAGAGGGCCAAGTCCTGTGATGCTCGTTAGTGCGATCATGGGTTCAATTGTTCCTTCTCCATGACTGAGTATGAGTAAGGAGAGAACTACTAAAACCCACTGCCTCCCACTCCCAAATTCTGCAGGCAGTCTACAAAGATTCTGCACTTGATAGCATCAAAGATGTCTAACAGGATTAAGAGGGATATCCTGCTCTGCCTGCATCATTCAACCCTAACAAAAATAATCAATCTGAGAGTAACCAATGACATTTGATAATAACAACCAAGCTTGGGTTTGATTGAAAGAGATCCAGGTTATCTGTTTCATTATGACTTCCTAATTGAAATCTCACTATCTTCTCCAGAATCTTCACCAAAATAAGGAAAGTTGAAAAAATGTTGTCTAACGCAGCCATATTTAGAGATGATCTCTTAGGGGAGGGGGTATATTATTTCAAAGCTGACAGCACAATCCTCTCTCATAAAGAATATTAATTACTTTCCATTTCCATATATGCCTGCCTCTGTAGATGTTTTAAGTAGCCAGGCAGGAATGAGTTGAGCCATAAGTAGCAGAGCCCATATCATCTAGAACCCTATCTACATTTTCAGATTTTTTTGAGATCATCTAAGATGACTTCACAGTCGGTTATCTCAATTATTTTAAGATTATCCAAGTGATGTCTAACATATTATAATGAATAGGTTATGTTATCCATGAAGAATCTTGCAAGAACTGTTCTTCAGTTAACACTTAATTTTTGTTATCTATGAAAGACCATGTCACAGAAATTACAAACATTTATTAGTATTGTTTACTAGAGGTTAAATTAAAACATTGTTATAGGCTCAAATCTTGTTGGAAATTGTACAATTATTATATGGAGCAAACAATATTAATAGAGCAAACAATATTAATAGATTATAACATTCCATACATTAATGGGTCCAGCCCATTCAACATTTGATATAAACAATTCAAAGAGTACAATGCATTATATTTGTTTAGGTTTAAACAAATCTGATTTTTTAAAAGAAAAATATGTACTGGATAGAGTATATAGCTACATAAGAAGCAAAGTGCCCCGTGCACTGAAACATTATCAATTATACTATATAATGAAAGACTATAATTAAATAGTGTTGACCTGAATATGAATAAAAATAATCTCTGAATACTTAACAGAAAAAATAACTGAATTGTCTTGCTTGAGTAACATAATTCTGCCATTTCTAGAAAGATAAATTTTCATACCATCTTATACCATCTAGCACACAGGTATGCGACTTTATTTATGGGAAAGTAGGAATCAAACCTACTGGAAGTGCAACTTTATTTCATTTTACCAATTCTTCTGACTCCAAAAAGACCATTTATGAGCCCTTTTGGAATCTGAAGAGGTAGGTTACAGGATACACACATAAGGATCTTATTTTCTCTATCTTCATTATTGTTTTGGAGGCAAGAATTGATTCTAGAGAATTCTTTTACAGAAAACATTTCAGTGGAACACCGTAAAGCCAATCCCAAGCATTGACCCTAATAGTAGGGATTTACCTTACACACATTATTCCAATTCTGGTATGTGCAGTGGGTCATTTTCAAGAATTTTCTTCTGAATCTAATGGGTGGCCCTCAGAAATTGTAGATAGAAAAATGTTTGTTTGTGGCCCCATGTCTCTTTATTTTTTTATTTTTTTAAATTTAATTTATATGCTGCCCTTCTCCGGAGGCTCAGGGCGGTTTACAATGCATTAAGCAATAGCATTTTGCTTTGCTCACACAACACTCGTGATCAGCTGAAACATAATTTGCTAAATTAACCCATTTTCTTAGTTCATATTTTCAATTATAAATAAACCACATTCCCACAACATATTTTGGCCTACCATGTTATGCAAAGCCAGGTGTAATCTGAAGGTAAGGATTGTTTTGTGATGAGAATTTTTCTCCCAGTTAAGAGGGATATGAAAAATGTTCATTTCCCACTCAACTAAGAAGATTTGGATTTATTTTTATAGCAGGATTTGTTTTGCTTCACCTTAACTACAATACTAAATACGAAACTAGAAATCAAATTAATATAACCTGCCAACTTCATACATAAAATTTAAAATGGAAAGAAAACAAAGCTTCCTATCAATATTTTACAATGGCAATTTCAGAAGCTCTGCAGTTGAATGAATATATACTCCGGAAAATATCACATGGCATTGATTGGGCATACTACTACATAAATAGATGTAATATTGCCTTATTTTTTTTATCTATTCATTGAATTGCACTGCTTCTGAAGTTGTCACTGTAAAATATCGATACTAAGCTTTTTCTTTCCATTTTAACTTTTATGTATGAACTTGATTCTCAAATATTTATTTTCTTTTCTTATATGCCACCGCACTGTGTATAGAAGTAAATATTTGGCTGAAACTTTGCAAAGAATGAGCCCTAAATGATTTAATATACTATTTTTTCTAATTCTCTTCCACTAAAAATTATACTATTTATTCTTATGTCAATCTTCTTAGCAAAATTGGATATGAATTTTGGCAGAAAATTTCAACCCCAAAAACATTATTCACTAATTATTGTCAAAAAAAGATAATCACAACTTTCTTTTAAGCTATATTACGCAATTATTCTAATTTGACTGTTTTCACTGTCACAAGAACAGAGGTTTAGCTAAAGGTCTGTATTGTATAATAGAAGAATGAGCATCTAAACTTCTTCACAGAAAATCTATTCTATTCGTTCAAAAAGAGTTTTCAAGGACTTTTTTTCTGTAGCCGCCCTGAAACATTTATGTTGAAAATTATGATTCAACATGAGCATCCTGCAGATGGTAAAAAAATTAGTGTCGCCTTTCATTTCTACATAGAAATACTTTGTGGCTTCACAACTTCTACAAAATAACATCTAAACATGCAATTCTGTAATAACAAGAAATATAAATATGCTATTTCAAGCAGGTAGTCAGACTAAATAGTAGTTGATATTCCTTCTATGATTCTACCCTGTAGATCAGTATCATATGCAGAACTAATTATGTACTATCAAGTCAGGATTGACTCTTAAAAGACCATACAGATAGACAAGATTGTGTTTCATTGCATAAGTTTAAGAACATGAAAAAATGCACCTATAGAATTTCCAAATTCTATATTTGTCACTTTTTACTATTATAAATTTTATGATGGCATCTTTATTAGTTTACTGCACATGTAGCAACTTCAACATATATACAATTTACAATAAAGGAAGCATGAAATAAAATATATCAGTACTGTAATGGAATGTGTAATAATCTTGGGGAAGATATGCTATTTAGGAAACAATCCAACAAGAAAGTCAGGAGCCCCCAGTGCTTAACAGTCAAAGAAACTTAGGAAAACCCGGCTTTAAAGGCTCAAGGAATAAACAATGGTGGCGAGAAGTTTGTACAATGATACCTCGGTGCTCAACAGCTTCAAAACTCGTTAAATTTGCTATGCAACACATTTTGACAAAAAAATGTTGTCCCAATATTCATTCTTTGTCTGGTACTTGATGAACTGCGATTGTGAAAGGGGGGGTAGCTGTGGAGAGCGGACAGGAAGTCAGCCAAACTGAGAAGGTCACTGACATAGGAAAAGGGACAAACAGGAAGTCCTTCCTGGCCAAAACAAAGAGTTGCATGATAAGTCATGTGGTTTGTTTGGCACTCATCATTTTTAGTACTTGTCATGCCTCTCCAAACCATTTAATAATGAGTATCAATATACCACTGTACTTTTAGACTTACAAGATTTTCTTATTGTAGTCTTACAATAAAGTAGAATTAGTTCATCTTGTCATCTGGAAATTGAGTCATGGCAACTGGATTTATTTCCTTGTTGGTTTGAGATGTTTTGCTGCTCATCCAAGCAGCTTTCTCAGTCTGAACAAGTCACTGGAATGTACTGATTCCTCTCACACCAACCTCAGGGTGTCCTCCCCAAATTGTGTGGTGATATGTTGATGAAGTTTCTCAGTCTGGAAACTGAGTCATGGCATCTAGTGTTTCTTATCTGGTGTATCTGGGAGGGCTGACAGTACTGAGGTCTTTCAATGAGTGATGGTTATTGTTGTTTGCATTAGCTTGGTATGGTATCAGCTTTACTCAATCTATTACAAAAAGGACTCAGATTAAAAAAAGGCTGTCTGTATTGTTTTCAACTTCCTTGCATCTGTATTGTTACTAAGTAAGAAACAGCCAGATCAACGATATAGATGCAGATAACTGCACTAAAGGTAAAGAACAAGAAAAAATACAAGTATAGAACTGATGTATTCAGACTGCCAGGTTGGTGTTAAGTTATTTCAAATTTGAATGAATTCAATAGAAAGTGTATCCTGGTCTTTTTTTGGCCTTTTATGAAATATCTGTTTTCATTTAACATGCAGTATTTAGTATATCCAAAACCTCTGCTTCTAACTTAAAAGTGTTTGCATTTCAATGATTTTGCTTTTCCAATGCAGAAGTAACAGTTTAACATTTACCTGAATTGTTGTCACTAGATTTTATCTGTACTGGATGCAGAAGTGTAAGTACCTCATTTATACCTTTAAAAATAATTCTAAAAAATCATAGAAGCCAAATCCAGTAAAATAAAATGTTCTTTGTTTGATTAAAATACTGTGTATTATAATTCTGTAAAATTATAAATAACGAGAAACATATTGAAAATACAAAAAAAAAATATTGTTAAAAAAATGTACTTATTGCTTCTTTAGAATAGTCAACGGTTTAAACAGATTATTCCAAATAATCTGAGTCATTGTTTCACTCAGTTTACTGCTTAAACGAATTGTCTACATAATTCTGCAGAACTCATTGGAAGGACATTTTTCTCCTACTAATCCCATCAATAAAGAATACTGATACTACTGTTTTTAGAGAGTGTACCATGTTGTTGGCTTTCTGAAGTCCGTGGTTCAATAAATAAATGATCTTGTTTTATTTTCAAGTGCATTAAACCAGTTCTGGTTTGTTTAACAGCATCTTCGTGTTGTCTGAGCAGTCTGCTTCCTGAGTTTGATTGTTCCACTGTTGCCATTTTCATGAGTTTCTAAAGGTGTAATCTGCCGGCCTTTAAAAGCAAAAAAACAAAATAAAATACATACAATTGTTAAAACCTTACACCTTATCTAAATGCTTAAAAATAGGGTTGTTTCCTTTTAAATCTTTAAACTAAAAAATAAACTTCCAGCTGGTAGTAGATTGAATTTGTGCTCAGGTACTTTGCTTGTTTGGGGACCTATTCCCTCATCTTTTGATTACTCTATTGCTTGTTTTTCTGCTAACTGGTCAGCAGAAAATTTCTTTTGTCTTTATTATTTTTAAATCCAGCTTCATTGTTTAAAATGATTGCTCTTCAGTGGTAAATAAATAAGAGATCGATAGGATACCCATCCAATCTCCAAAGTTTCAGGAATTAAGGATATATGCTATAATATTCTTTAAAATATTAATTCCTGAATTTATAACATAAGAAAAATAATTCATTCTGAATTAGTATAAGGTGAAATATTTTGAATAATACCTCTCTAGAAGTATATTTATATGATTCTCTGTGAAACAATTATCTCTTTCATTGTTGTCCTTTCATGAGAAATAAACTAGGGCTTTAGCAAAGCTGTGACCTAAATAAGAAAACTTTTTAAGTTGTACAAGCTTAAATATGCAAAAACAAATTCTAAGTTTACTTACTGATTGCTTGAAAGAGTTCTTCAATGTTAATTGCACTTTTGGCACTAGTCTCAACAACAATTGCACCTATAGATTCTGCATATTCTTTGGCATCTTTCATAGGTACCTCCCTAAAATAAAATTTTAGAAGTTTAAATTAAGTAGTTGTGCAACAGAATGTTTGGTTCAACTATAATATTCTTCATAATTTGAGCACAGTAAATATTCATTTCTTGTTTCTCATATGAGAAATATAATTACTTCTTGTTCTCCCCAAATCTAAATAATGGAAAGAGGCTGAATGAACAAAATTCTTTTGTTGTACATTGCAATACAACACAAAATCTGTGAGTGTTTTCTGACAGCATTAGGATCTGTCTACTTTTCTTTCTAAAGAAAATTGTGACTGTAACTCCCAGACATTCCAGCTATTGGGCTGACTGGCTGGCTTATTTATTTATTTATTATGCATTTGTTCCATAAGTGGCTCATATCCGAATAACAATAATATTCTTTAAGATGTATTTAAAAAATTCAATGAGAGTTCAGTTAATAATTTAATGAACATTTTAAAGAAAAATTCAAACCTATTTATACAGAATACAGAATAACAGAGTTGGAAGGGACCTTGGAGGTCTTCTAGTCCAACCCAGTGCCTAGGCAGGAAACCCTACACCACTTCAGACAAATGGTTATCCAACATCTTCTTAAAAACTTCCAGTGTTGGAGCATTCACAACTTCTGGAGGTAAATTGTTCCACTGATTAATTGTTCTAACTGTCAGGAAATTTCTCCTTAGTTCTAGGTTGCTTCTAACCTTGATTAGTTTCCACCCATTGCTTCTTGTCCTGCCCTCAGATGCTTTGGAGAATAGCTTGACTCACTCTTTTTTGTGGCAGCCCCTTTGTGGCAGATACAATTAATGGATCACTGAATAAAAAGGCTTTTATTTTCAATTATTTTTCTTTGCTCAGTTTTGAAATAACTCAATTCAGGTTTTAACTTTTTATAAATATTTTCCATATGCAGTGTTTTATAGATCTTCGTGTTAAAGAAATCAGATATGCTAATGCATTTTTGCAAAACAGGAATATGTAAAACATTCCTTACAGGAACTTTTCAAAGCCTGCAAATGCTGTTCTAGAATGATCCATATATAAAATCTATCTTGATATCCCCTTAAATAAAATTTAATATTTCATTTTGAGAGATTAGGAATTCCCCATGTTTCACATAAATCATAAAATTGGAAAATTTTAATATTTGATTATGTTTCACACTTTCCTTTTTCTTTTTATTGAGCTCTTTTAAGTTCAACCTACCATGTAGATAAACTATAGATCACATTTTTTCAAATTCCTTTGTATTTTCTACAAGAATACAACTGGTACTTGGTTCAGTAAACAAACTAGTGAAAAAGTCCTGTATATAATTTTTTTAAAAAATGTTTGGATTTTTATAAATTTAAAATTAATAGCTACCTTAATAAAAATAATAACTCATTTTATTTGAATCTGAAGCAAAACATTATTTGCCATACTACTGATGTCTCAAGTCTAATATCATTCCATCTAATATCATTCCATTATATTTCCGGATGCATAATTATAATTTTTTTAAAGTTTTAGCTTCATACACTCATTTTGATACTACTTTAAACATCTCCTTTATCAAAATAAACTACAGTAATCTTTCCCTTTTGTACTCTCCCACTTAAATTATTTTCTGAACTTTTATCTTTTAAATGCTTTAACTTCTTCCATTATTATGAGAACCAGGATAACGAAAGAAACTATCTACCCTACATGGACCTAACACTAAATCGAAATTGATCTAGGTTAATGTTTATTTTATTGAAGTATTGTGTAACTTATTGTGTGTAGTTTCATGAGTTGCAGAAGGCTGCTTCTGGTTTTGCATTCTCACTTTTGGTTAGAAGTCTTTCCTACTCTTCCTCTTCTTTTTACAACAGGTCTAAATATAGTCAAGCTAATCAAAACTTGAGAAATGGAACCTTTGCCCAAACATCAAAAATAAGATTATTTAAAGTCTTAGAATTCAGTATTATTGTTTTGGGCTTAAATTAACAGACATAATTTTAAAGAACTTAAAGCAATAAAAAATGTTAATGACTAATGAATACACAAAGGGCTTCACTGTGCCTGAACATCTAACGGCAGGAAATCATGTGGTTCCATCAAAGAAAAAACAACAACCCAGAATTGTAACTATGTGATTTGTTCCCACCATTTGATTAGAGTTTGTAACCAAATAGCATGGCCTGCAACTCTTCAATTTCATAAAGCAAATGTATGAGAACATGCTATAACGTTTTTTATTCCTTTTCATTATTATTTCTAAATGTTTCTCTAAATATATTGACTAAGGTAAAATTTAAGTCAAATCCTGATCAACTATGAAGTAAAGGACTTCATATAGTTATTGTGATTAAGGTTAATAATAATAGTTATTGTGGTTAAAGTGTGGGACCAGAGCCTGGATAGCTCTGCAGACAAGGCACTGTAATTTAACACCAGCTGTCTGCAATTAAAGTAAGTTTGAATCTTGCCAGGCTCAAGGTTGACTCAGCCTTCCATCCTTTCTAAGGTAGGTAAATTGAGGACCCAGTTTGTGGGGGCAATAAGCTGACTTTGTATAAAATATACAAAAGTATGAAGGCTATTGCTTAATGCACTGTAAACCGCCCTGAGTCTCCAGAGAAGGGCAGCATATAAATCAAATTTTTTAAAAAAATGTTTAGCCCTCATTCTACTACACAGCTCAACTAGTAACACTGCTCCTTGCTCTTAGTCCAACAGAGGTTTGTTGGTATGAGTATAAAATTAGGGGAAATTCATTTTGCCATTTTGAGCAATAATTCATAAATGAAATAAAATGTATTACCAAATATGGAAATGTTTATTCCTAAAACCTAGATCTACACAATAAATCCTGATAATATACTGTAATTTACTGGTACGTTTTAACACAAAATATTTTCTGCTTTAATTTTTTGTTGGGTTTATTTAAGAGATTGTCCACCAATTATCCTAAAATTTACTCTTGCTTTTCAAAATGTATGGAAAGCTAGATGTAACTGATTGAAAGGTGGGAACCCTTTCTAGTGGTTATAATGAATTGGATTATTGATTATATTTACCTTCTTACTGTGTTTTGCATTTGAATTTTTAATAGTGGTTTTAGCACGAGTATTTGAGTGTTTTATTTATACAGTATATATATGTTTTCTAATTGTTGTGACCACCCTGAGTCCCATATGTGAATGAATTAAATAATTAATAAATACCGTTACAGGACTGGTTGTTTTACAGTATATATGTTAATCAACTACTAAAATGTTGTCTTTTGCAGAAAATAATTCATTTTTAAAAAGTTGATTTCACTGTTTTTTGTATAATCTATCATCAGCCAGAGATTTAAAATGTTCCAGTGAAAGAGATGATTTGTTATTAAAAACAAAAATAGAAGTTTGTTCCAATAGAAAGTTTATACACAATAACAACAAATCTGTCTCAATGATTACATACTTACATTAAGTTGTTCCCCCAGAAGAAAGTTAACAAATACAAAAAAGAAAAAAAAAACATTTGTAGTCATTTATATAATTAAGAATAGAGACCACATCCAGGCTAGAGTTTTTGTGTATTGTGACCAAGGCAAACAAACAGGCACATATACAATTTTGCATGGGAGTCTGACAGACAGAATATGCAAGACACCTCCAAGTACCATGGACAAAATTGGACACTCTGCAAGTAATACTGAAGGTATGTGCAATGTTGGTTTCCCTGCCAGGAGAAAACTCAAGCTATATGTAATGGAGGTGCAAATCTGTGTTTTTATTGGAGGAGTAGTTGAAAGAGCTTGAAGAAAAGCTCAGGTTTGTTTCTTCTCAGCAATGCCGAAGAAAACTATGAAGGCCATGAACATGGATTGGAGACAAATAACAGAAACTTAACTGTTGCCCTTTCTAGCAGTGTGAAAGGATGCAGTACATGGGCAACATAAAGCCATTGTTACAGGACTAAGTGACAATATACAGCAAGACAAAATTCTAATAATATAGAGGTGTGTTTTTCAAGTTTGACAGTGTTAAGATGAATGGACTTCAACTCTTCAGTATTTCCAAGCCAGCATGCTGGCTAGGGAATTCTAGCAGTTAAAACTCCACATGTCTTAAAGCTACCAAGTTTGAAAAACATTGGTATAAAGGAAGGCAGGGCACCATAGTAAGGTCATCCCCAAATGTTTTACTAAAGGCATCCCAGTTTTGAGGATTGAATTGTGAATAAATAAAACAATTTGGACAAAAAAGTAGACAAGGCTAGAACATGTTTAAACATGTTTAAGATGGAATAGTATACTACTACTGTGTTTCACCAAAAATAAGATCATCTTATATTTTTTTGAACCCCGAAATAAGCGCTTGGCCTTATTTTCGAGGAGGTCTTATTATTTTGGGACATGCGGAGCATCTTACCTGATTTCCAGCTCTGTCTCCCTAACCCTAATCAGAGGAAATGGCGGGGACCGGCTGCTCAGGCGGTTAAATATTTTTGGGGAGGGCTTATTTTCCGGGGGGGCGGTATTTTAGCGCATGTGTTCAAAAGCCCAATTGGCCTTATTATTCGGGGAGGGCTTATTTTCAGAGAAACAGGGTACTGTTATTTTGAAACTGCAGACATGCTTATTTCTTAGATTAAATAAATTTCAATAAATAACATTTGTTATTATTTGCATTGGTTTAATTTTTTTAATTTTAAAAACCATATAAAATGTATTTCTGTATTTGTCATATTGTAGAAAAAGCAATGGAAAACTGAAAAAAGTAAATATATCAGAATATATACCTAATATCAGAAAGGTCACACTTGTTTCCAGCAATAGCCATTACAATGTTTCCAGGAACATGTTCTTTTAATTCTTTTACCCATTTCTTCAGTGTATGAAATGAATCCTAAATTAAATACATAAGTCAAATACATTACTAAATTGAGGCATAATATTTGAAGACAATGTATAATGTATAAAATCCATAATGGTACAAACAATCTAGAATACCAAGCAAAATGAGATATGTTTCTACTGGCTCAAGGTTGACTCAGCCTTCCATCCTTCCGAGGTTGGTAAAATGAGGACCCAGATTGTTGGGGGCAATATGCTGACTCTGTAAACCGCTTAGAGAGGGTTGTAAAAGCACTATGAAGCAGTATATGTCTAAGTGCTATAATGCCACAGCCAGCCAATAAAAGTTGTATAGAGATACTCCATGACTCATAACAATATATGTTCATAGAAAAATCTCTAAATCACATGCTTCCTCTCTCTATATATTCAGAAAACACATACAAGTATGTGAGAAACAAATAAAGAAAGCGCTTGTGTTTTCAATACATGCTTATTAATGAAAGACTTGTTCATCGTAAGTAATAATTAACATCTGCAAAAGGAACACCTGGAGCAATATACTATAGCTATATAATCCAGTTTTTAATTAGACAAAACTTTCACAAAAATATTCTAGGAATCAAAAATACATATTCAATTTTTCAGTATTTTGCAAAAGGTAGCAAATTATGGGATATAAATAAAAAGCAATGCTAGTGATAAATAGGAACACACACACACACACACATTCTTAGTCTACTCAGCAGAATGAGAAAAATAGACCTCAAATACAATAAGGCTAACTTATCGTATTTTAAAGTAGGCAGTTCAATTTGTATTGCTGTCTATCAAAATCAGAGTTGATTTTAGTTGCAATACTAGATTATAACAGACTTTATCAAAGAATAATAATAAAGTTTCAAATACAGTGCAGAATGAATAAATAACAGAAAAATACAAAAATTTATGATTACAAATACAGTTAAGTATTTATAATAAACATTATGACATTACATTGTGACATAACTCCAGTAAGACTTTTTCTAACAGTATACATTCAAAAATGTGGATTGTCTGGTCCTCTTAAGTTTGCAATACAATAAAGCAAAATGGCCATGGTAACCAATATAACCAATCACATCCATTAGCAAATCTTTAATACATTCAGTTTCAGAACCTGCAAATGCATCAATATCCAAACCCAGCATTTATTGTGTCATAAAACTGACAATGTGGATTGTAATATTTGCTATCTTTAACTGCAGGAAGACAGCAACTCTTCTATGAAACTTACCATTGAAATAGACAAAAAGCATGGCTTATACAGTTAAATTACTGTGCTGATTAATGACCTCAATGAAGTTAAATATGTTAATAGATGTCATGCTTTAATAGAGCACAGAGGAGAGTAGATAAGTACTGTAAAATTAATCTGTTTTTCCTAAAATGATAATACCATTTAAGCATTTCATATATTGCACCAAAGTAGCTATGTCAGTTATCATACCACTCAAGGAAAAGTCATGGAGGTTTTTTTTTCCTGTGCCTAGCAAGAGAAGAAATATATGTTTCAGTATATTTTTTAAATTTGTTTCTTTTCCAGTAATATGAAGGATAAGATTTTGTTAATTTGTTCTAGCTAAACCCTTCTCCTTGTCTATTCTTAAATGAATAGCAAAAGTGCCTTGAGAGAGATGTAGAAGTTTTATAAGAAAATTAATTGTTGGAATTATTTTCTCATTTCTACATTCACCCAGTGCAAAATGTGTGTACTGCAATTATGCTATGCTACCTCAACATGGCCATGTTGTGTGTTTGGTATGTGTTCTTTGGACAGTGAATGAAGCAGGCCAGGAGTCAGCTATGTCGCAGATTTCATACAATTCCGCCAAGCAATTTTTTTGGTAGTTACGGGCATTTGTTGATTTTCAGTAATAGAGAAACTCACAAAGATCAAAGTTCGCAAAGTGAAATTCCAAATTGAGAAGCAGGCTTCTAAACCTGCCTGAAATGAATTTGACTATTTTATGACGTGACACAGCAAAGTTCACACTGTATTTATTTGACAGATGGGAAAAAAACATCTGTTTACAGTCCTTGAAGCATTTCATAATATGTCAGCTAAAATTCAGCACAAATGTAAAAAATAGTGTCCCAAAGTATACTTAGTGTCATCTTTAAAACCCCTGAATCTCAAAAGATTGCCTACCCCTGTTTAAAAGATTAAAAGAAAATAATGTTATATTTTAATTATCTTGATTTAACAATGTCTAAAAATCTTATGAAAATATGATTTACTAACTTTTACGCTGGATTGCTCACTAAGCCTGCACAGTAGGATGCTGAGAGAAAAACACAATGACCAATTATTAAGTTGGATTTTTGAATAAATGTCAATAATGGGATAATAGTAAGCTCACCTGCTTAGTTATGTCATAAACTATAACAACTGCTGCTGATCCACGGTAGTACATAGGTGCCAGTGAATGAAACTATGAAACATAGAGCAAAGAGTTATATCTTGCATTTATGTAAATCAAAAAGGTACGGTAGTTTAAATTAATATCTCTTCTCTATCTTCCCTCCCAAATTTACTCATCTAACAGCTGTAAATGATTTACATCAAGTAACAAAATGGATTAAAATAAAATCATAGCACCCCAGAATATTTTCTCCTATGCAATGGGGTAGGTCATCCTCATTAATCCCAAATGCTTTCCTGAACTGTGATTTTCAAGACTCTTCTGAAGCTCCATAAGGAGGTTAACAGAACATCAGGGACAAAGAGTTCCACAGAAGGGGTCTACCACAGAGAAAACGCAACATGTTGATTCCTATAGGTGGCACTCAAGTGATGAGATCTTAACAAGTTTCTCTTCCAGCTTTTGCAGCATAGGCAGATCCAGCCCACAGCAGAAAGTCCTGAAAGTATTTGAACTCAGCCCATTCAGCTCTTTAAAGATGATAACACTGGTAGTCAATTCCTGAAGTAGTAGAATCACATTTGTTGATCTAGATATGCCCACAGCTATTTGGCCTGTGATCTACCCTAGGAAAAAGAGAGAACTCTTCTTACTTTCCCTTCCTTCAAACAAATATTTTCAAGCTGAAGAGAGGATGTGTATTCAAACAAAAAGACAGAAAAGGAGTGAAAGAGATAAAGAGCTGCACCTGAATGTGCATCTCTCAAACCAGTACTTTTAAAGTTACCTGTTCCAGCCACATCCAATGGATTACAACCAATATCTCCTAGCCCTAATTTGAGACCCATCATCATTTTTAGGGAGAGTGCAATTCTTGCTAGACTTACTAGACTTAGTAGAACTTCTAATTTTCTTAACTCAAGGAAGCACAGCTTATTTTTCAAGCCATAGAGCCGTGATGGCGAACCTATGGCACGCGTGCAACAGGTGGCATGCATAGCCATATCAGTGGGCACGCCAGCTCAGCTCTGGCGTGCATGCGTGCACCGGCCAGCTGATTTCCGGGCCTTCTGGGCCCACCAGAAGTAGGGAAACAGGCTGTTTTCTGCCTCCAGAGGGCCGGAGGGAGGGGGGAAGGCCCGTTTTTCTTTCTTACCTGACTCCAGATCCTCTCTATTTATCTGGGAAGGGTGAAAACAGCCTTTCCCACTCCCTCGGAGGCCCTCCAAAGGCCTGAAATGGCCCATTTCCCAACTCCCGGTGGGACTGGAAGTGATGTTTTTTTGCTGTCCCCAGCCTCCAGAGATTCCTAGAGAGGCTCCTAGAGACCCCTAAGGGGCTCCTAGAGACTCCTAAAGAGGCTCTGGAGGCTGGGGACAGCAAAAACGTCACTTCCTGTCCCACCGGGAGTTCGGAAATGGGCCATTTCAGGCCTTTGGAGAGCCTCCGAGGGAGTGAGAAAGGCTGTTTTCACCCTTCCCGGATAAATAGAGAGGATCTGGAGCCAGGAAAGAAAAACGGGCCTACCAGGCCATCGCGTGCCAGGAGCAGGGGGGTGGGGTGTTTACGCGTGCATGCGCAGGGCAGGGCACATAGAATTATCGGTGTGGGCACCCTCCCCCACCCCCCCTCTCCTGGCACACAATGGCAAAAATGTTAGCCATCACTGCCATAGAGCTTGCTAAATAATCAAGGATCCAAGAAAACATCAGAAAAAAACACCTGGCCATTCATATTCTCATTCTCTCTTTCTCTCTCACACACACACTCACAACATACAGAGATACATACTCTGTCAGGCATGGAAGATCAGGTCTACATGTGGAGGTCCAATTAAATTGATTTATTGCTACTCATGACTGTGCACAGAAATCTTCTCAACTAATAGTTAGCACCTGCTTGGAATTAGATAAGGGTCAATGGAATTCAAGGGAGGTTTGATTTAGTTCGGCTGTGTCTATGTAAAAATTCTAGGCTGATCCCTCTTTTAATACCACCTTCAGGTTCTGCCATTCCTACACACACACACACACACACACACACGCACACACACAGAGCAAGCGAGAGAGAGAGAGAGAGAGAAAGCGAGAGAGAGAGGGAGAGCAGACTTTTCAGCTTATAAAAGAAGAGAGTTAATTTTCTGCAATGCAAGGAAAGCATTTGGGATTTAATCAATTGAAACAAAAAAAATAATGTGAGAACTCATTAAAAACAATCTTTGTTTGACTTTCAGAAAATAGTATACTTCTTCACAATGATTATTCTACTAAGTTCTGACATTCTTTAATACAACTTAAAAAAAAATCTAAGACCTCTATAAAAATATTTTTTTTGCTTTCTTGGCATAGTATGCTATGTGGAAGAAGAAATAAAATATTTCCTTTTTCCCCCAAGATCAGGAAATCGCATATTTTCAGCAAAATATGATAATTAGATGGAGCAACAATAAGCTACTGGTAGAAATCAGTAATAACATATTGTGCTCAAGAAACTGTAATGGAAGGCTTAGCAAACAGGATGTCATTAAGTTAACTAAGAACTTTACTTGCCATTGTCAAATAAAATTATATTAGCAAGGGAAAAACGTATCTCAACCATGATACTAATTATGTACAGAGCAATGTACCAACTTGATCATACCATAACAATTTATACACACACATATAAACAAATTAGCATTGTTAAATTAGTTACATAATCCCTCTCTTAAACTAACTTTCAAAACTTTCAGACAACATGGTCAAGCCAACTAATAAGCTGAGCAGTTTTGTCCACAGGGCAAATGGGAAGGAATTAAAGGTTTGAATTAATAGCATGATGTTCTACAGTGGAATTATTGAGTTTGTCATCTGCACCTCTATAACTGTCTGGTTTGGTTCTGCAACCCAACAAGACAGACACAGACTTCAGAGGATAATTAGAACTGCAGAAAAAACAATTACTACCAACCTGCCTTCCACTGAGGACCTGTATAATGCACGAGTCAAAAAGAGGGCTGTGAAAATATTTGCAGACCCTTCGCATCCTGGACATAAACTGTTTCAACTCCTAGTCTCAAAACGATGCTATAGAGCACTGCACACCAGAACAACTAGACACAAGAACAGTTTTTTCCCGAATGCCATCACTGCTAAACAAATAATTCCCTCAACACTGTCAAACTATTTACTAAATCTGCATTACTATTAATCTCATCGTTCCTATCACCCATCTCCTCCCACTTATGACTGTATGACTGTAACCTTGTTGCTGGTATCCTTAAGATTTATATTGACTGTTTCCTAATATGATTTGATTGCTTATTTGTTCCCTATAAATACCATTAAGTGTTGTACCTTATGATTCTTGACATATGTATCTTTTCTTTTATGTACACTGAGAGCGTATGCACCAAGACAAATTCCTTGTGTGTCCAATCACACTTGGCCAATAAAGAATTCTATTCTGTTCTGTTCTGTTCTGTTCTGTTCTATGTAGCAAGAGATACAATGCAAGCTGCCCTTTCACACCATAATGAGATGGCTGGCTGATTGCAAGAGGCCAATCATTAGATCCTACTTCAGCCCACCAACAGACAGCAGAAGAGTCTGAACCAGTTTTTAAATAGATGAAAGTACATTGGATTTTAAAGATACCGGTAGAAGGAAATTCAAGTTTGTATGGCAGGTATAACTACTTCACCTCCTTTCCCTTGAGGCCAATTGTAGGAAATAAGAATATCATGTCAGTAATAGGGAGAGAGAAAGACATGGCAAGTAGCTCAGATTGGGCCATTAGATGAAGCCTAGAAGATCCTGAGAAAGTAAAAATTAGAAGATTCTAGTGGTTCTAGTGATTCTAGTGATAAAATTTTTATCTTTCCAGAAGCCTGGAACTAGAACCTGGCTGCATATTATTGTGATTCTGAAAGTGTCAATCTGTTGATAATTTAGTGTTCTGTTTGTTTAATCTCTACTATACAACTGTTTCTGTTGAAACAGAATTTAGATTACTGTGACATTTAAAACAATATAAACATACCATGCCTTCTTACCTTCAGTATCTATGTTACAGATGCTGGTTCTCTCTGCTTTATTAACAAATACAAAATATGGCATGCAACTTTCTTTAGATAAAGACTCATACTCACCCTCTCCTGACCTGCTGTGTCCCAGATTAGAAATTTATGAAGCTCATTCCCACAAGGGACTGTTTTAGTCATAAAAGAAGCTCTAAAATTTGCAAGAAGAGTTGCACATAAGCAGAGTTTACATTAAATTACTGTGCATGTATTTGCTAATTAAGAAAACAACATTTTCAGGAATCTAATCTTCACAAGGGAGAAAACAAATCATTTCTTCTTACTGTTTGAGAAATAGCAAACATTTTACAAATATTACAGGCAATCTAAAAGTTAAACATAATGATGCATACATGTAGTGCTATTTTTAAATAGGAAAATAAGTTACTTTTTTCTAGAAAGAATTCACATTTGTAAAATTTGAGATTCTAGAAGGATTAACGAAGATGAATGACATAGTAGCCACTTAAACTACACTATCCTATCTTGTTAAAATGTGATGAGTTGCAAAATGAAATTGTTCTTTTAAGGCAATAGCGATAGCACTTCAACTTATATACCACTTCATAGTGCTTTTACAGCCCTCTCTAAGAAGTTTACAGAGTCAGCATATTGCTCCCAACAATCTGGGTCCTCATTTTACCGACCTCAGAAGGATGGCTTGAGCCAGTGATATTTGAACTGCCGAACAGCAGCTAGCAGTCAGCTGAAGTAGCCTGCAGTGCTGCACTCTAACCACTGCGCCACCTCAGCTCTTGCGGTCCTTGACCACAAGCAGATACATACCTATGAAATTTCAGCTGATCAGTCCTAAATATTATAATTTGATTTTAAAGAACATTCAGGTAGATGAGAGATTAAGTAAAACAGGAATCTTTATTCTAAGCTATATTTAATTCTAAATAAAAAAGAAAATAGTTTTTTTCCTGCATGCTAATGTTTGTTAATATTTCCTGCATAAATCATTACCATCATCTGGATAATTATTTCCCGCTTTCTCAATTAATTATACAAAATAATAAATGAGTTACTAAGGCCCAAATCAACAATTTACTATTCAGTAGCTGAATGTTGATTTTAAAACTGGAAGGAATTAGAAAAATATAATAATTTATGAATGTTTTATGGCTGAAAGAAAATAAAAATGTTATCTAAGAAACCTGAACATCTTTCATTCCCCCAGACATAACTGGAATGTGAGACCCTAATGGTATTTCAGAAGAAGCTTGGGGATTTTCAGAAGGATCAGTTTCAAGACCTTAATATCCATCTGGTATGGTATGACAAAGAAAAGTGATGTACCAGGAAAGGCAAGGTCAAGGAATAGACATGCAGAGATTCCAAGAATGCTATTTTGTTGTAGGGTGTATTAACAGAATCCTGAAAGCATATCCAAAACCTTCACTGTGCCTTTTAACAATAAAGTCAAGATGAGGCTGTTCTGAATCTGTTTCTCATGCTTTCTACTTTTCTAGAGCTGAACAACCCGTTTCTTTTTTATTCCTTCTTCTCAGTGCTGGAGCTAAATTCTTCTATAGCCCTCACCATAGGAAACTATTGCTGAACCTATAATTCTGGATAATTTTCATTCAACCTCCCTTTTTTGGGGGGGGGGAATTGCTGAGAAAGTGGTCCGGCTGAAGCTTTAAATAATGATTATCTATTTCAGTCAGGGCACAGGCAGTATGATCATTGATATGATAAGAGCTAGGATGGGGGTGAATGACCATTCTAGTTCTCTTTAATTTTCAAGTACCATTGAACATGATATATTTCTGGACCAGCTACTTTCCCTTGGGTGCTTCCAATCAATAATTGGGGCAGAGGTCAAACCCAACGCTTCTAGTTGTGGATACCTAAGATTCAATGTTCTTATCACTCCTGTTAAACATTGAAGTGGTAACTAAAGCATCATTAGGCAGACATCATTAGTAGGTTGATGATACTCAAATTAATATTTCAACTCCTGGTTGACCAGGTGATGCTGTTGAGTCTTGTCACAAAATCTGGAGGCTGCTAAGGTCTGGATGGGAAGGAACTGGCTTAACTCAACCCTGACAAATACAAGTAACTATAGCTTCATGATTTTTCCAGTACCAGATATTTCTATCTTTAGTTTTGAGTAAAGTTGTACTTTCCCTACAAAAGTGGTTTGTGATTTGGGAGTCCTTCTGAACTTACATATCCTGCTCAAAAGAATAGATAGTGCCTGTGGCTAGGTAGTTGTTTGTACATATTGTCCTAATGAGCTGAGTGCCCATTTCCTTTCGCTGGTAATTTCTTATCACAGTCATTAATGCCTTAGTCACTTGTGCATGGACTATTAAAATATGTCATGTATGGGAGTGCCCTTGAAGCCCACTTAGAAGCTACAGTTGGTCCAGAATTCAATGACATAAACCGTCATAGCCCTGCCTCAAAACACTGATGTAACATCTCTGCTATGTGAGCAGCACTGATTACCAATGAATTTCTGGATGCAATCCAAGGTGCTGATTATCTGTACAGTTCTTCATGGCACAGGGCCTCTCTTTCATTGTTTTTGCTCCTGCAATACTAAAAACAAGTTCTTTGAACTCAACATTTACTCTAAGCTCTGGTACATGCATTTGATGTAGTGTATATTTGTTCCTTTCCCATTATTTGTTTCAGGGACAGTGGTTGCTTTTGACAGTTGCCTAGATTCACTGTTGAGCCGGCCAGCCTTAGAAATGTGAAGTATAAATAAATAAATTTTAAATGAAAAGCACTTTTCAAAAACTATGGGTTTAAATCAGAGTAGTCAATGATTTATAGAAAAAAATCTACTATACATCCAAACCTTCTGGAGAGCCATAAGAAGTCAGCTTCTGGCATAAAGAGCCAGTTCGATGTAGCGGTTAAGACACCAGGTTAGAAACTAGGAAACTGTAAATTCTAATCCTGCTTTAGGCATGAAAGGCATCTGGGTGACTTTCAGCCCAACTCACATTACAGGGTTGTTGTTGTGGAGGAAATAGGATAAGGAAGGAATATTAGGTATAGTCACCACTTTGAGGTATTTATAAAAAATAAAGGCAGGATAAAAATATCTAAGAAATAAGTGTAATTGTAATAGGCAACATCAACCCTTCTGCCCACTTTTCAGAATTTTAAGACTGGGAATGGGAATAGAATATTCCTCTCATCTCTACCCTTAAAATATATATAATCTCCTACCCCAAAATAGGCCTAAATGGTTTGGGTAGTGGGAGTTGTGGAAGTTGTGGGAGCTCAACAAAAAATTGCAGAAAAAATCAAGTAGTTTGCAGTTGGCATTAATTGCAGAAGGTGGTAACATGTCCACTCAATATTCCATGTTAAAATAGGGATGGAACCCGTAATACAAATACAGCTATCTTGAATAATGAACTTTCCCTATTTTAAATTACGAAGGAATTCATCAGTGTTTATTTAACTTAACTGTACACGGTACTTACCCAATAGTAACGCTAATATTGTGGTCAAAATGATCCTGAACAAATCGACAAACTATACTTGATTTGCCAACTCCAGTATCCTAAAATTTAAGAAAGGAAGAATCAGCCCAATATTGTCCTGAACGCCCATCTGTTTTAAATGAAGAAACCCTTAGGTTTAGGGCAGGGGTCCCCAACCTCCAGTCTGTGGACCAGTACCGGGCCACAACATGCCAGAAACTGGGCCACACAAACAAGCAAACCCCTATCCATGAGAGGCAGACAGCACACGAAACCATGCCCACTCTGGTTCATGGAAAAATCTCTCTCCATTGAACCAGTCCCTGGTGCCCAAAAAGTTGGGGGCTACTGGTTTAGGGTATATTTACTTAAGAGGCTGTACTGTACTTTGTAAGAAAATGGCTGAAGGATATCAGAATATAGAAATGCTGCACCATTAGCTTCTCCAATAATAGAGGAACTCCCAAAACAGTAGTTGAAATTTTCATTAGGCCCGAAATAGGTGTGATGGGAAAAGTTAGAGAAGCACAACTTTCAATCTCAGAAAATAATACACCAGACTAGCATCTGACAGAGCTCAGAGAAGGTATAAGAAACAAACTAACAAAAAAGAAACACTTCATCTGAAAGTCCTTGCCTGAATATAGGAAGCCAACAGATTCTGTTCTATCACAATATTCCCCTATTAGCATTATTGTTCTTCCCATTAATTCTGAATACCTACCTTCTCTGCAAACTAGCTTCAAACCTGTGTTAGAATACTGACTTTTGCAGAGATGATTACTGTATATTTCAAGGCTTAAGTAGTTGTATATTTAAATATATTTAAGAGAGCCAATTTGATGTAGTGTTTAAGGCACATTAGAAACTAAAAAAACATAAGTTCTAGTCTTGCCTTAGGCAGAAAAACCAATTGGTTACCTTGAGCCAGTCAATCTCTCTCAGATCTAGGAAGAAAGTAATGGCAAACCACTTACAAAAATATTTCCAAGAAAACTGCAGGGGCTAGTCCAGGCTGTTGCCAGGAATCAAGATTGTTTCAAAAGTACACATGTACACACAGACAACTAATTTAACAGGTTCTAAACAATAATTCTGGCAAAATATTACTAAATTCACTGTATTCTATTGCTATCTTATAAGCTGTTGAAATGATCTGTACATAATTTATTTTAAGGTCTTTGGGATCCATACCAATGCATCCTGCATAGTCCATTCATGTATTTCGTTAATTGGAAGTACTGTAGATGTACTTGTCTGACTGTAGGCAAATCTTTGAAAAGTTTGGCAGATAGGCTGGATAAAATTCAAAAGGTCTGTGTGGAATAGGCAAAAGTCGATTTTATTCCTTCGCTAATAATCTATTCAATTCCTTAAAATTAAAGCCAATGATGTTACCTTGAACAATGGCTTTATGCTCATTTCTAAAGTAAAATACTCACTCTGTGGCATATGGCTCAATCTATGTTTTTGCATGTTCCTTTCTTGTTGCTATTATTCACTTTTCAAACATAGGGTAGACAACATTTTATTTAGATGGGACAAAATGATGTAACAAAATCAAAATTCAAAAATGTTCATTAAAGTTTTGCAAGTTCACCTTTTCTCTTTCTGTAATCAACAATTTGTTTCATTAGATAAAATTAGTCTTGCTTCAGAATTTGGTAACAAGTAAAATGGCTAATACAATGGTGAAATCCAAATTTTTTTACTACCGGTTCTGTGAGCGTGGCTTGGTGGGAATGGCAGGGGAAGGATATTGCAAAATCTCCATTCCCACCCCACTCTCGGGCCAGCCAGAGGTGATATTTGCCAGTTCTCTGAACTGCTCAAAATTTCCACTACCGGTTCTCCAGAACCTGTCAGAACCTGCTGGATTTCACCCCTGGGCTAATATATTTATCCTAAAAGAAATTACTTATACATAGGTATCAAGGATATAAAATATTTATTTTATATTTATTGTTTATATTATATTATTTTATATTTATTTTATATTTATAAAATATTTATTTCCAGTTAAACATATTACGAATATTTTATGTGTAATTCAAACTGAAATGTAGTAAATACCACTTACATATTCTGTGCATAATTGTCAATATGGAACCTCTCTGCACCCAAGTAGTCACTTATCTTGCTACGAGAGAAAGTTTTAAACAAGAGAACTGCCTTTCTCCTACAGTGTCTGCCTGTTCTGCTTGTGTTGGGTCCCCTCAGTTAAACAATGCCATCAAGCAGAACCCAGGAAGAAAGCAGTCTTGATTCCTTCAGCTGCTCAAATATGTGACATGCGTGGACATATGTATGTAAAGTGCTAAGGAAACATGTTATGTATGTAAAATGGTAAAGAAGAACCAATAAATAAATGAGGAATTACATTTCTTCTTATTGCCATTCCAAAAAAGCATATGATTGGATATAGCAATTCTACATTTTTTTCTATGCCTTTAACCACATTTCCAAGTTCTAAGTGCTCCTTACAGAAAATGTCTGAACACAGTTGTCAATAACTGCAACTTGCAAACTAACTATATTTTTGTTGCATTCAAGGACAATTCTAGAATAGCTATTGGAAATAAAACTTAAATGAGTGCTATTCATGATCTTTCTCTAAAAATGTAGAAAATCCTTACTGAAGGTTATCTTCGGGATAAAGGGAAGAGGACAAATGGTTTAAAATTACAGTTTTGCAGAGGTGGGGAACTATGGCCCCTTTATGACTTGTAAACTTCAACTCCCAGAATTCCAATTTTGGGAGTTGAAGTCCACAAGTCATAAAAGGGTCATAGTTCCCCACCTCTGCTTTATAGGATAGATTTTCAGGATATTTTAAATTGAAATATTTTCTTATTGCATCCTATGCATTAATTTCCTAATGATTTCAATTAGTATATTCATCTACAAAATCTACAGAATTTACAAAAGTATTTCGATTATATTATTTGATGCAAAGAAAAGTATATTTAAACTATTTTATGCAGTTTGAACAGTACATTCAAAGAAACAAAAGCTCTGTGTAGAGAAAAATATTTTTATTATAATATTTGAAACAATCTTGAGCAATAGGCAATAAAGCAGTAAAATATCATAAAACTGCCAAACTAAAAATTTTCTGCACAAAATGTTCTAGTCATCTCTGCCATTATCTGAGCAAAAACTCTTCAATAAATATTCTGCAAATCAGTCTATTTCCACTTGAACTTCTGATGTCTGATCAACTTATTAAATGGTTTGACGTTCAAGAGTTTTCCATGTTTTTCTTTGGAACCATGAACATCAAAAACAAGCCAGTAAACTTTTTTTTACTAAGGTACTCCTATTGTTGTTCAAACAATAAGCAACTGATGGATGGATTTCCATTGATGTCCTTCTGATTTCTTGGATGTATAGGAAGTCCTCGGTTAACCCTTCAAAGTTTTGTCAGACTTAAAAAAACTACTTATGACCTATTCTTGAAGTCATGAGTGCTGCATACCCCTGTGGATCATCTGATTGCATTTTGGGCACTAGGCAACTGGCTTACATTTATGATCAGTTGCATCCATTGGTTATGCTGGATTCATTTAACCACCATGGGATTTGTTTAGTGATTGTGTTGTGCTTTATGATCCTGTCAAAAATGGTCAACTTATGACCAAAAGAGGTGGGGGGAGAGTTAATGTTTTTACTATTTATATATTGTTTTTTTAAATTTTTTGTAAGCCACCCAAAGTCACTGAAAGTGAATGAGTGGCCATATAAATTCTCATAAATAAATAATCACAGTTGCAGTAAAAATAGTTTGGCCAGTAAAAACATTTATTTATATAGCATTAGCTGTAAAATTATATACTTTATTGCTTTATTACTAGGAGCCCTCAACAACTCAGTTCTAACAGCTGTTCTTAAAAACTTGGTCTGGTTTAGAAAGATGTTAACACTTCTATTAAAAGTGACTACCTTCATGAAATGTAACATCAGTATACCATGATTAAAGTGTGCTTTCCTAGACTAAATTTTATTTAAATTTTAAAAAATGTGTACCCAGTAATTACTACTCCAAGCAAAAGTTTGTATTCTGAAGAATTGTATAAGCTTAAGTATCCTGTCTTTTCTCAGTGTTAAAAAATACTTGTACATCTAACTTTACTATTACGGTGTAAAGTTTTTTCTAAGATATTAGCCTTTCAAAATACTAAAGTCATAATCCTATGCAGATTAATATGTAATATGTTCAGTAAAATTTAGGAAGATATTAATTTAATGAATTTCATTTCGTTTAAGGAAGATCAAAGCAGGCTATGTTCCTAAATAAAAGTACAGAACAAACTATCCTTGGTTTTTTTTTATGAAACACCATTTTTACAGGAAAAAATTTTGGATTTACATTCAGAAAATAATGTTCAGCACTCCATTCAGGGTGGATTTGATTTAAATCAAGTTGATTTAAATCATAATTTTTAAAGAGCAACTGTCATCTGTCCCGCAGCAACTCCTTCTCTGACCTGCTGTTGACTCACCGACAGTCCCAATATTGCAGAATATACAGCTTCATGCTACGTAACTAAGCTCTATTTCATGCTGAATAAACTAAATTATTAATATATCTTAAATAATAAACTATCTTTAGATAGATTTTTACTCCAAAAGCATTTTATTAAAATAAAATTGAGAAAAATAAAAAAAATCCGATTTAAATAAAAAATCCAATTTTTTTTAAAAATCGATTTTTATCCACCCTGACTTCATTAGTATTTTTTTTTAAGATAATATTTTACACATACACACACCTTAGTATTTAAATAGAATTTATGGGGAATTATGGGGAACTCTTTTCCTCTAAATACTGTTAGGTATCTGGTTTAAATAACCAATACAAAAAAAGTTATGTGGAATGAAAATTCATCACAAGTTAATGAAGCTGGGTACAGATTTTCCATTAGTCTGGAGAAATGAGGCAGATCACCATCCCAAGCAAATGCATATTTGAATGTTTGTTGATTAAAGAGGGAAAAGTGCTGCTACTTTTCTCTACAACTATTGTCACACATTCTGTTGTATCAGTTGTGTAGAAATGCCATTATACCCAAAATCTAGTAAAAGGAGAAAAGCTATAAACAGTCAGATTAACATCAATACCTAGGAAGTTTCCAGATTATAAAGCATATTACCTATAAGCATCTTGAGGACAATAAAGTGATTACAAGAACTCAACACTGATTTATCTATTGTAGAACAATTTTTGAAGGCAAACCTTGTCTCATGTTCTTTGATCAAGCAACTTCCTTAACAGATTGTGGAAATTCTTTACTTATAATATACCTTGATTCCAGAAAAAAAATCTGACAAAGTATAGAAAGATACTGAGATAAGCAATTATTGAGTTCAATCCATTAAAAATTTAATGCTACATACTTGGCTTAAAAACTGAACTGAAAAAATACTCATCAATAGTTTCTTATCAGATTGGAAGAAGGCATTGAGTGGAGTGCTAAAAAGTCAAATCCTAAACTCTCGTTTCTTTAACTTTTAAATAAATTACTTGAATGAAGAGGTGGGGGATGTGTTTATTAAATTTGCACTTGACACAAAGTATGTAAGATAGTAAATAATGTAATTAACAAATAAAATGAAAACATTGTTGATAGAAAATAGGCAGAACATAACAATGAAATTTAACAGAAACAAATGTTACAGGAATCAAAATGTTGGGTATAGATCAGGAAAATTACTTTGAAAGACATCTTAGAAATTGATTATAAATTAAGCATGAAGGACTAAAAACTAGGATCAAGGACTGAAAACTAGTTCCATGAAGAGAGATTGAAAGTCTTGGGCTTATATAGCCGTGAGATGTTAAGTCACAGATAGGTAACAAACCCAAGAAGCAAGACCCAAGCAGGTATAAAAAATATAAACTTGGAAACAATAAAAGTCCCAAGTAGCAGGTCAATTAAAACACTTCCTTTTAAAGCCCCCATATCTTGTCTGCCTGTCTCATACCAAAGTGATTTCTTTATCTGCTTCTCACAGCCTGGCATACAGTAATACTTATTCATCTAAAGGAATTTTGCATAGACAGTAGCCAATATCTATTTTCTATCATTGCAGATAGTGCATTCTTGACATTAAATGCAGAGCAATAGTGACTCCAATTATTCAGAGAACTAGCAAGGTTCTTCTTCCCTGAATGTAGACAAATAAAGAGACAAGAAAGGCATGTTTTCATTTTGATTCCTACCCAGAAATGGGAATAGGACTCCCTAGTCAAAATTCCAATTCCAAGTATATGAATCTATGCCTACAAAAAATGAGTGGTAATCCTGATACGTACATGTAGCAGATGCCTCAATACAGTATATAAATATAAATGCCTCCACATCAATAGGCTAGTGAGTGCTTTAGCAGGCTACCCATCTCATCTAGTCCCCACTCTGTCTTCAACAGTAATTTTATAGTGATCTGCTGGGGTGCCTGTCATGAAAGGCTGGGCCACTTGACCTTGTTTGTTTTACAGATTCAATAGTGGAAGTATAAAATGTAATATATTTATTTGTATTTGAAAAAAACAAGACCAAAGAGAAAACAACTGGTATTTATTTTCCTGGATTATGTGGGAAGGGAGAAGAAATAGGAGAATCCACAAAGCAGAAGTTAACTTCAGTCTGAACAGAACATCTGGCTGTATGATAAGGGTACTCTAGAGAAGCATTTATACAGCAGTTGCTGCAACATTTTAAAACTGAATGCAATCTTAAGAAAATGGTTTAAGGAGTTGCAAACAGTATAACATTTTTGCAAACTTAAGGGCACCTTTTTTGCTGTAAATATGAAGTGCAGTTTATTCATAATAAATAGCTGTACTGTTTTTTCTTAATAATGGGAGCTAAATCTAGGCAGTGTAAACTAAACTATTAAATCACCATGACTGTACAAAATAGAGGAGGAAAGGAAAGGAAGAATTCCCTGATACTGGTCTATGTGAGTTTGCAAATTACCAGCTGGGAGGAATTCACCATAACACTGCAGAGATTTATTCTAAAAAGAGGATATGGTTAGCCACAGAATGAAACAGTTTTTGCTGAGTTGCATCTCATGGTGAACTGCTTTTTGCACTGATGCAACTTCTGTCCACTTACAGCCAAAATCAGTTAAAGTGTGTAGCAATCTCTTCTGAGCTCAAAATGTTATCTGCTAAATGCAAACCAGAAAAACACAGTATTTAGGACAAAACACAACATACTTAACTTGTAGAAGAGAGTGAAGGAAAGGAGAATGAGATTTCTATATTTTAATAGTTAAAAATAATACTTTTCAAGGGACATTTCCCAACAAGATAACATGCTAAACATTCGTACAAAAATTACATCTATCTGTGAATCTGATCATAATGCAGGTGTGTGAGTGTAGTTATCCTACTCTTAATAATTGATTTAAAGAGTTAAAAGAAAAAATTATTCCATATGATCAGCTTGCCACATGAATTTCAGCTTCTGCAAGTTTTTATTTAATTTGCTATAAAGCAGCATTCAACATTGCCTGCCCACCGCATCGTTAAGGATTCAACGGGGTTCCATCATCTCTACCAGAATCAAAACATGTCTCCCAGGAGAATAGTTGTAAACGTTTTCCATCAGGTAAAAGGAGAACAGACAAAGTAGAATGTAACTGGAACAAATCTCGGACAAGGAGGAGGAGGAAAGTATGCCTGCTTAATCCTTATTTAGTCTAACTGCCTGAGCTGCCAAGATTCCCAGCAAGCAAATCGAAAAAGTAAAGTGAGCGTAAAGCCAGTCCGTATCCGAACTAGAATGTGCCAAAAGGAAGACAAAGAAAGCTGTTCTATAAATCGCAGGCTTGACAAGCTGCTTTGCAGCGCCCGTCCTTCCTCCGCTCGGCTTGCGCTCTGTCGGTCGTTTGTGCGGGACGGTGTTTGCTTAAAATCTTCACTTGCTACCCAGAATTCAGCGTCTCCTTCCCAGATCCCCCTCCCCCCACTCGTATTTCTCTTTCTTTCGGTTGCTACTCACTCCAAGCAGACAGACTTTCAGCTCTCGTATCGCCATCATCTGTTTGGAGCGAGGCGGCTTCGCACCCTTGAGAGGAGCGAATCCTCCGGTCTCTCTCGCTTGTTACCTAGTTCCAAAAACGGGCAAAAGCAGCAGCAGTTCCAGCTACTACTCAGCAGCCCCAGCCCTGTGTCGCTAGCGGTCACATGAGCACAACCCCGGCTTCGGCTCCTCCTCGCTTTCTTTTGCCGCTTTCCTCACCCAAATCCAAGGCTTACAAAATAGCTGCGCTTCAGCGTATTTCGGAAGACGCAGTTGCCATTCTTGGATCGGCGCGCTGGACTTGCGGCTGGCCCTTGAGCGTTTCCAGGTTGCGAAATGAACAGAAGCAACGCTGCGTTCCCGCCCATTTTCTCTCAGCGCGCGTCCCGCTGGCGGAGGGCTCAAATTTCCAAGTACAACAACAGCAGCAGACAACGCTTTGAAGGGGATGGGGAGGAAGAAAATGTCACGGATATGATAAGTGGACTGATTTCAAAGCTGCTGGATAAAATTAAAAGCAAAACAAGATACAGTACTTTTTTTTACACGGCGTCTTTGGATTGATATTGCTACTAGCCATTTACCTGGAAGCAGATTTCAAAGCTACAGTACACCCCTGTAAATAAAAACAAAAACACATTAAATCAGATTAAACCATCTAAGCAGCAATGTGTTTGACAGAATTTCCATTAATGTTATAGCCAATAATGCAAGCATGTGCTAAGGAAAGCAAATTTAGAATTCTAAGGTTATCAAACAAAAGCTGGATTTCGTGACCTGTATAAATCAAGTCCATTTATTTTGCTCTAATACAATCTGAATGTTTTGCAAGCCTAATCCAGCAGGTTCAGAGAGATATCAAAGGGCGAAATAATTAATTCTCTAGGATTACCAAATTATGGACTACTAAATCTCTTCTTGTACCTTCAAATAAATACCAACAGTATTTTCACACTTATTCACATTTTCACTCAGAACAGGCAGAGAAACTACAGCATCTGACCAAGCTTCCAATTACTCATTTTATTAGTTTTAAAATGCATCTTCTCCAAGAATTCAAGATGTCATGCATAGCACTCCCATCTCCAACATTTCCTATCATTCCAATAATCTTTTGGTACATTGATTTGAGAGACAGTAAATATCCCAAGAGAATGAGGTGGCTAGATGGAGTAACTGAAACAGTCGGCGTGAGTTTAAATGGACTCCAGAGGATGGTAGAGGACAGGAAGGCCTGGGGGAACGTTGCCTATGGGGTTGCGATGGGTCAGACACTACTTCTCAACTAACAACAACAAAATATCCCAAAGTGACATTGTTAAACTGGGTAAATTAATTTAAACCTCTCCAGCAAAGTCCCAAAGGTGTTTTTCCAAAAGGCAACTGGACTTTCTTGGTTTTTTCTTTGAAAATGTTTCACTTCTCATCCAAGAAGTTTCTGGATGAGAAATGAAACATTTTTAAAGAAAAAACCAAGAAAGTCTAGTTGCCTTTTGGAAAAGCATCTTTGGGGCAACCATGACCTGAATTATTGAGAATTTCCATAGACATCTCTCCAGCAGAGGCTTTCTTCCAAGAATTGTCCAGTAAATGAGGTTTATGATTGTGATAGGCTACTAACATCCAGAGTGAACTGATAAACCATCTAGCAGGAAAATTCCTAGCAATTCCATAGAAGTACCTGTGTTTCTCTCAAACAATTCCTAGAAAAACAAAGAATTTGCTGTAAAACTTCTTGCCCATAATCTGGAATCCAGGCTTTTGAAAATTTTGTGAAATTCCTGAAACAGCAGGGTATCTATGAAAAAAATGTTTTTAAATTAGCAAAGCTGAATCTCTAGATATAAAATGAATTGCAAAAACAAACAAGGGAAAGTTCTGTGAAAAATATTGGCCCTCTTTTAGGTTTTCTGAATTTGTACATATTTTTGCTACTAAATCAGAACTTCAATATGAGTTCTACTGATATATAAAAAGAGTCAAGTTACAAATACTGTAGAATTGATGTTACATGCTTGAATAAAGTTTTGGATTTTTGGACATGTTAAAAGTTCATTAGAACAAAAATGGCTTGAGATAATGTTTTTGGACCCCTTGGAGAAGTAAAGGAAATGAAGGCACAGTTTTTCCCATTCCTTTGCTTTTATTTTTTTATAAGATAAACATGGCAAAAAAGAGTTCAGTGCTTTTCAGTATTTTATCAACATTTTCCTTCAGTAGCTTGCTCATAAGTTTTAAAAATAAAAAAAAATTGAGGAATGGGTAGCCTAATTTCTAATATACCTAATCCTTTCAAAAGAATGTATTTATACTGGAAATAGATAGATGCTACATTTTAAAAAACCCTTTTCAATTGGGTTTTCTTCCAACTGCCAGGAATCATAATCAGAGGTCAAATTTATAAGGAAAGGCTATTTGACTTGTCTTGATCCAACAAAATACATTGCTGTACCAAACGGATTACGCCAAATAATTTTATACATCTGCCCTTCACAAGACACGTTTCTAAAGCCAAGTTTCCTCAAAATGTTGGATTTCAAGGTAGCTCATAATATGATAACATGGACTGCAGAATTTATTTTTTAAAAAAAGCTATCCAACAAGTGCCATCTAAAGTTTTGTAAATTCCAGGAGAAGACAAAAAAACCCCTTCCTGTAAAAATGGGTTCTTGACAATTGAGAGATCATAATTCACAATTTATTCTGGAGTTTTCATCTAATATTTTAACAGTTACTGAAATAATTGCATTTGTGCATTGCAGACTCACTCCTTTAACAATTAAGGCATCTATAAGATATAATTTGGATAATACAGTATATTGACTAAAGAAAATTGGTAAAAAAAAACTATTATTTTGAGCAAGAGAAAAAAGTTTCAGTAAATCTACTAACTATATACTATGTTAAAGGAATTATAATGTTTCATATCACTATATCACACAGAATAAGGAACAAAGGTTAAGATAATCTTTGTGTACAAAAAGGATAAACATAGAATTAGTAATGAACAGTCTCTGAACCATTCTATTCCGGGAATTTTCATAACAGTCTGTATTTAAAGACCTGAGGTCAAGGAAACATTCCTAAGGGATTTCTCATTTTTTAGTATGTTTAAAACTTACGAAAAAAACTAAGTCCTGTTATCCTAATTATAGGCCCTGCTGATTTTAATTTGGAAAACATCTTGAGTTTTAATTCTCTAAAAAATTAAAACATTTACTTTTAAGCTCAAAAAATAGCAACATTATTAAAACAAGTCAGAGCGTAATAAGAGTGATAGAGCAAACTACTGACTGCAAAATATCTGTGTTCAGTTCTTGATCTCCCTAGTATCCAGGAGTAAGGTTCTGAGAAATATACAACAGAAAAGATCAAAACTATACAGACTTTTTGTATGTGAATTGGAAAATGTAGGATTGAGGCATAGCAATAATTGTCCATTTAAGGCTGAGAAAGCACTGGGGATTTCCCCCCTCTCTGTAACACTTGATGCTTGCTTGTTAACTTGTGAGATTATAAAATTGTTTGACATTTCCTAGATAAACTAAGAATCAGGCCTTGTCATGTGATATTGATGGGACCCAGTTTTGACTGATGGGATTTGTGATCCAAAATTGAACATAGAAAAAGGATTTGCTACTATCTTTTTCCAGTGGTACACTGGGCTAGAGGTAGAAAATATGTAGCTCCTTCTGGGATGTACAGTATTTTTGTGTTATTGGCTGGACTTACATTTATATTCTTGTTCTTTTTTTTTCTTCCGCTTATTTTTCTTCCTTTTTTATTTTTTATCTTTATTTTATTGTTGTTATATTGTGAGCAGTTTCGACTCAGATGGTAGCTAAATTGAATAAATTTAATTAAATATTAAATTAAAACTGAACTGACTGCATGCATATAGAATGATAAAATTATACTAAGAAGCATTTGGTAAATAAACTGTTTTGTGGTGACCAAAGAGAAATGCTGATACTACATGACTATGTCATGCCAGTATGTCTATGGGAAAAAGGAAAATATTAGAAGTCTGAAGTCAGAGAGCAAGAGTGATGACTGGGAATGCTGGGAATTCTGGAACTATCTTTGGTTTAACAAGATCACATGTTGAATGCAGTGGGAGGATCTGAAAAACAAAGTTACTGTAGAAGATAACTACTATACTTTTCGGACTATAAGATGCACTCCCCCCCCCAAAGTGGGTGAAAATTGTGGTGTGTCTTATACACCAAATGTTGCTGAAGCCCCGCCCACCCGGTGGCCCCACCCTTCAGCCATTTTCAGCCTCCACGCGTTGCATTTTCAGCTTTTGCACACCCTATTTTACACCTGTTCCAGGCTGCAGAGATCACTACAGCTCATCGCCGCCAATTGCCGCCTCTGCGTGTCACATTTTCGGCCTCCACACATCGTGTTTTCGGCCAGTTCCATGTGGCAGGGATCGACAGCGGCGATCCACGGCGCCTGGAACTGGCTGAAAATGCTATGCACGGAGGCCAAAAACGGGGTGTGTGGAGGCCAAAAACGTGATGAGTGGAGGCCAAAAATGCAATGTGCAGAGGCGGTGATTGGCAGCAATGTGCTGTGGCAATCCCCGTAGCCTGGAATGGGTATAAAATGGAGCATGCAAAGGCCAAAAACGCAATGCGCTGAGGCCAAAACTGTGATGCGCGGAGGCGGCGATCAGCTCTGCCGATCCCTGCAGCCTGGAAGAGCTGATTGGTGGTATTCTGGGAGGCTGATCCCACTGGCAAACAGCTGTTCATGCTAAATCAGGCTGTGCTGAACCTAACCAGGGTGTTTGCTGTTTGCAGCAAGGATGCTAGCCAGATTAATACTGATGGATGCTGGTAGGGAGAGGCAGAATTTTTTTTCTTATTTTCCTCCTCCAAATGGGCATTGGTCTTACCTGTCATGCCCTTTCTTTCATGGGGGGGAACGGCAGTCAGACATGGGATAACTCTGTCTATTAGCCAATCAGGACCGAGTCTGCAAACTATTAGGCCCCGCCCCTCTTGCTGATCTTCAGTTTGTCGGCAAGGACCATAATGCAGACGGATGTGTCTCCATCTGGAAAAAGAAAGAGTTAGTGGAACCCACCCACCCTGACAATGTTCATATCGGCCCCCATTCAGGGAGGGGCTGACTGCCATTCCCCCCCCCCCATGAGAGAAAGAGAGTGACAGGTAAGACCAACGCCCATTCTCCTCCTTAGTGGAAATGGCAGTCAGACATGGGACATACCAAAGCTTGTTGTCCTGTTCGGGAGGGAAATACACTGGTGATGCCGATCCTATGAGGAGTGGATTCCCTGAAGCACTCATCTGCCGAAAGCAGCATCTGCCGACACGTAGGAATCCAAACGATAAGGCCGAATGAATGGTGTTGGGGTAGACCATGTTGCAGCTTTGCAGATCTCCTCCAATGAGGCCTGAGTTGCCCATGATGCTGACATGGCCGCACTCTGGGTGGAGTGAACTGTGATACACTGCCGAACCAGTAAGGACTGGGACTCGTGGGCTGTAGAGGTCGAAGCTCTGATCCAGCAGCCCAAGGCCAGAGCCGTGACTTTGGAGCCCATGGAGCTAGGCTGGAAGTAAACGAATAAAGCTTCCTGTTCTGCGGAAGGAGGAGGTGCGTGAAATGTAAATTTTTAAAGCCCTTTGAACATCCAAGGTACGCCATATCCTCTCTAAGTGATGTACTGGAGATGGGCAAAAATTGGGCAAGACCAGTTCTTGGGTTCAATGAAAAATGGAATTAACTTTAGGAACGAAGGTGGGGTCTAGGTGGAGCATGACCTGTCCAAGTGAAAAACGCACAGATCTTGGTGAATCGAAAGGGCGGCCAGTTCTAAAATGCGGTGGGCAGAGGTGATTGCAACAAGAAATGCCACTTTGAAGGAAAGAAACCTGAGAGCCACGTCACGTAAAGGTTCAAAGGAAGCCTTGGTCAAGGCGGATAACACCTTGTTGAGGTCCCACGTGAGAAATCAGTGTATGACCGGAGGACGGAGATTGGAGGCCCCCTTGAGGAACTTATGTACAAACGGATCTCTGGCGACAGATGTCAACGAATCGCATGCCAAAATGGAGGAAATGGCTGCAATCTGCCATCATAGCGTGGAGGCAGAAATACCAGAATCGAAACCCCTCTGCAAAAAATCAATAATATGAGCAGTAGAAGCCAATGTGGGAGCCAGGTTCCTCTTCTTGCACCAGTTAGAGAAGGTGTGCCATGTGGCCTCGTAAATATGGTTAGTCGAGGCGCGCCGAGCGGCTTGTATGGTGCGGATGACTCTATATATTGGCCTTCGCTAGGAGATGCCGCTCAGTCTCCAGACGGTTAACTGTAACCACTGGGGTTCTGGATGAACTAGAGTCCCTTGAAGTAGGGAAATCCTGTCACTAGGAATGCGCCAGGGGCGTGCTACTGATAGGGTGACCAAATCCGCAAAACAAGGCCGTTGAGGCCAATGCGGAGCCAGCAGGATCAACTCCGCTCTCTCCTCCAGAAGCTTCCTGATTACTCTGGCAATGAGTGGAAGGGGAGGGAAGGTGTACAAAAGGAGGCCTTGAGGCCAAGGGGCAAGTAGAGCATCCACCGCCTCTGCTCTGGGAGTTGGAAATCTGGAAAAAAAGCATGGTACCTGGTGATTGGTCTGAGAGGCAAAGAGGTCCATAGCTGGAAGGCTGAACCGGGAAGTCAGCTCCTTGAATAGAAGAGGATGAAGACTCCATTCTGCCTGGTCCACCAGATGCCAGCTGAGAGAGTCGGCTTGAATGTTCGACTTCCCTGAAATGTGGGATGCTTTCAAGGAGGCTAGATGCCATTCTGCCCAAAGACCCAGACGAAGAGCTTTCTGCATGAGGGCCTTTGAGCGAGTGCCACACAGCCTGTTCACATGAGCCTTGGCGGACATGTTGTCTGTCAGCACTAAGACATGCTAACCTCTGATCAGGTGGTGGAACTGTTGAAGGGCCAGATGAATGGCCTGCAGCTCTAACTAGTTAATGTTGAATGGTCTCTCTTGCTGTATCCATTGGCCCTGGGCCATATGGGGCCCCAGGTGGGCTCCCCACCCTGATAGACTGGCATCTGTAGTGAGAACTAGGTGGCGGGTTTCCCGAAACCGACTGCCCTTGGAGATTGCAGTTGAAGTCCACCAAAGTAGTGAGTCGACGACCATGGGGGGAAGAGGAACTCTTGTTAGAGATGTGCTCCTGCGCGCCCTTTGGAAGGGAAGAATGAACCACTGCAACTGTCTGCTATGAAGACGGGACCATGGAACAATGCCAAATGTAGATGCCATTTTACCCAAAAGGCGGGAAAGAGTGAATAGAGATGCCGAACGATCCCTGCAGCAGAGGAGGGCCAGCTCATGAAGGCTGGTTTGCTGGTCCAGTGAAAGGGAAACCTCAGATTTGATGGTATCTACTATAGCCCCCAAATGCTTAATGCTTAATGTAGAGGGGGTTAAGAGGCACTTGGACCAATTTATGAGGACCAATTTGGAGAGGATGAGGATATCATCCAAATAAAAGAGAATTTGAATGGGAATGGCATGGATGTGGGCAACGAGGGCAGCTGTGAGCTTAGTGAACACCCGCGGGGCCGAGGACAGCCCGAAGGGTAATGCCCTGTACTGATAATGGTGTCCAGCATAATAAAAGCGGAGAAATTTACGATGGGCAGGAAGGATGGGAATGTGAAGATAGGCTTCTGTCAGGTCAACTGACGAAAGGAAGACCCCCACCCTAATGTAGTCTAAAATTGTTTGAAGGGAGTGCATTTTGAACCGGCGGTAAATAATATACCGGTTCAGAGCCTTAAGATCTAGAATGGCTCTCCAGCCCCCCAAGGATTTAGGAACCAAAAATAGGTGAGAGTAGAAACTCTGTCTGTGCTGGCAACGTGGCACCAACTGAATGGCCTTGATTTCTAATAAATGATTGATCACCACGGCCATGTGACAGTGTTTGGATTGATTATGAGACAAGGGGCAAGGATCAAAAACCTTCGGGGTGGTGGTGGAGCGAAACTCCAGAGAGAGACCTGGTCTAATCGTGTTCTGCACCCAAGAATCAGACATAGTGGAGTCCCATCGACTGGAAAAAAAGGAGAGACATCCTCCAACATGGGAATCCTGGGGAATCCTATCTGGGCCTACGGAAGGGGCGACCCCTGCCGCCCCGGAAGGATTTCTTGGGAAAAAATTGAGAACCTTGCTGACGTGGCTGTCCTGGTGCTGAGCACCTCTGGCTGGGAAGGTTCGTTGCAGGCGTTGTTGGTAGAAACTGGTGTCTAAGGAACGAAAGGACTGGGAACGAAAATAACTGCTGACGAAAGTCGGTCCTCTGGGAGACGGAAGGTAAAACTTTTCATCGATCTCTGATCTCAACAAGAATAGGGTCAAGAGAAGAACCAAAGAGTTTCTCCCCTGAATAAGGAGATGAAGCCAAGCGCCATTTGTTTCTGGCGTCGGCTTGCCAGTGCCTAAGCCAGAGTAGCCTCCTAGATGTGACTGAAGAACCAGTGGATTTTGCAGCGAATCTGATGGCATTAAGAGTGGCATCCGCCGAGAATTCAACAGCTGCCAATATCTTATTGATATCCTGGTGTGCCCTTGAATCGGAAGGAGGGATTCTCTCCTGAAGCTGTTTCAACCACAAAATAGAAAATGAAAGAAATTGAGTATAGACTGGGGGAGGTTGAACTTGGGTGGGATAGTCAGCTGGGAAATGGATAAAGCTGAATTTTACATAAGATTTCAAAATGTGCAGAAGAGAAAGGAGAAGACCTGGCAGATGTGATGATTAGATTGCTGGCTGAAGCTCTAGAAAT